GTGCTACCATATATAGAAACACTTCAATATTTGTGTGTATATATAATGTTGGGAGAATAATAAATTAGAGACACAAAAATGTGAAATATTTTTCGGGTCATTAACATTCTTCTTGTCTTATCCCATCTTATAAATATATTAGAAAGTAATCATAAATATAAATATATATTTATTGGTAAGTAATATTAAGGACTCTTAAACATTTTTATATTGTTTTTAGTCATTTAATTCAGTGTTGTGCTTATTTATTTATATTATATATATGAGTAGATTTGTGGGGTGCACATACTTTGGTCAATTCTGGCCATAAATACAAATATAAACAACTAATATTTTTATATGGGATTTACATAATTTTTCTTTTTAATTTTCATTAATTATGTTTAACTCAAATTAATTAATTGATAAAATATTTATTTTAAAAAATATAATTTTCTTTTCTACATATAAATAGTCTTAACTCACATTAGTTGGTAAAATATTTACTTCAAATACAATACTTTATTTTACTTTATATTCATAAATAGTCTTAATAGTGTAGTATGTGATCTAGAGAACATTGCATTAAGAATAAAATCCAAGTAGTCTTAATAAAATCGCCACTAGAATTATAGTAATCCAGCTTCTAACATAGTATTTATTATTTGTAATCTTCCTCATTGATGATCTCACTTCTCTCATTGTATGTAATTAGGCTTCTAATTTGACCGTTAAAAAGCGTTTTGTTCATTTATTTTGCAGCTTCTAGCGTGTGAGATATTCTTTTATAGTCTTATTGCTCTCAAATATAAGTAAAACTATTTTGTCAATAATTTTTTATTTATTTTTAAATGATAAAAGTTTCAAGTGCAATACACGTGCAATGCACATACTATGCACGTGAATAACAATCAATATTAATATAATTTAATTATAATTTTAAAAAGAAAATTGAAATAAAAATATAATTTTGAAATTAATAATTTATCTAAAAAAAATAAAATTTAAAAATTGAAGTTCGGTAATGGTCTATATAGATATATGTTATCTTACTGTTCACACACACACATTGAAAAAGGGCTAAGATAAATGTAAGAGAACAAATTTGAAAAAATTATTAAATAGTCATCAACCATGTAATGTAATTCAATCCAAAATTTTAAATTAAAAGAAGTTGATTTGTTAGAGTCTAAAAGTTATTAGTAAGAATTCTGAAACATAAATTTTAATTGAATTAATTGCATTTGTGGTTCAAGTTCACTCCCTTTTTTCTCTTTTAATTAAGTAAAATAAGTAAATAGAAAATATTTTTAAAAGGTAAATTAAGAAAAGGTAATATGTGATAAAAAATATTTTTAAAAAATAAATAAATATATGATTGAAACTCAAGAGAATTAGAAATGGGGAAAAACAAAAAGACTAAAAAGTTGAAATACATTATAAAATAAAAAGGTAAATTATTGAGAAAGAGGTTAGTTAAGAAAGAAAGGTAAATTGTTATAATTATTATTATAGAAATTTATGTTTTGATGGTTATATCTAAAGAGTTCAAATATGTGATAGAAACTCTTTAAGAAAAAGGTAAATCATAAAATATGAAAAATAAATAAATGAAACTCTTTTAAAGAGGTAAATTATGGAGAAATAGTTAAATTAAGACAAAGTAATATGTGATATAAACTCTTTTAAAAATATATAAATATATGATAGAAATTTAAGAATTAAAATATATTATAAAACAAAAAATTAAATTATTGAGAAAGAGGTAATTTAAGAAAGAAAGCTGAATTATTATAATTATTATTATAGAAAATTATGTTTGATCGTTATGTTTTTAAAGAAAATAAATTAAAACTTCGGATACTGGGTGAGCTACTGTTTGATGATAACTTTTTTTATACCTTTTTTGAAAAAAATAAAAAAAATATAAATTTTAATTTTTTTTTATTTGAATAGGTAATATGTGATAGAGTTTTACTCTTTTTAAAAATGAAAAAATTGGATAGGAACTCAAAATAGAGTTTTATAAAAACTCTTGTAAAGGATTTTTTGAAAAAAAAAAAATAAAAACTCTTTTTAAAATTAATTTAAATTGGATAAAAACTCCTTGTACTTTTAATTAATTATTAATAATATTACCATATTTTTCTTTGCCTATACTTTGTAGATTCAAAATGTCATTGGTTCATTCGTGAATCACATAAAAACGAGAATATTAACACTATTCTTTTTTTAAAAAAAATATAAACCTGCTAATCAATTTTTGTTATCAACTGATGTAGCACTGACAATAATTAATAGAAATACAATAATAGGAGAAATATAATACATCTTATCTATTACTGACAAATCTATTGGTGTCACGCAAAAACTTGTCAGAGTTTAACATTGAGAGTTCAAAGGGAGGTTTATTGTAAGTTTACTAGTGTAAAGGGTGTCGTGCAAAAAGGATAATACTTGCTTAGGCCATATCAATAGAAACTTCTTACTACAGCGAATGAGGCCCAATGAAATGAAATGTCAACAAGTGCTCTAAAAAATTAAAAATGGATTAGATTCATTTTAAATGGATTAACCTGTTACAACCATTTGAATCTCTATATTTCTTTCGCTCTTTTTAGAGACCCACCAACCTCTTTTTGTTGACCGGAAAAATAAAAATTTTTAGAGACCCACCAACCTCTTTTTGCCATTCATCCTTTTCTAAACCTCACAGTCATCATCTTCTTTGGCCTCCACTCTCCGTCTTCGCCGTTGAAAAATGAAAGGTTTCAATTCTCATATTTGTGACAATAATTAATAGAAACACATTAATAGAAGAGATATGTGGTATATCTTATGTATTACCGATAATATTAGAGTGGCATGAAAACTTGTCACTCTGTTATTGAAAGTTCAGAAGGGTTTATTGTAAAGTTAATAGTATAAAGGGGAATTTGCAAAAATGGAAAATTTCAATATATTTTTCATTTTGTGTCCCAATTTATATATCCTTTTAATTAAGTTGTTTGCAGATTAATTACTTTGTCGCCTCCCGAGTTATGAACTATAAAAAGTATGTAAGTTTCCCTTGAAATAAAATTTTGTTCTCTAAATTACTAAGGACTTGTTTGATTAGTCACTTAAAATGCAGTTTTTAAAAACTCAGAAACAAAAAGCTGTTTTCAAATTATATATATATATATATATATATATATATATATATATATAGTTTTATGAAAACAAACCGTTAACCAAGTTTTTATAAAACAATTATTAGAAACTTTCAACCAAACAGATTTTTATTCAGTTTTCAGTTTTTTTAGTTCTGTTATCAAAATACTGAACCGAACATGCCTAAAAGTTTATAAACAGTTAAGTGGCTGTTTGATGCATCTTAAAATTACTGAATTACCCTTAAAATTGGTCCAAAAACCATCCTGAATTATAAAAAAATATATTTATGTTATCCTGAGTACAAGTGGATAATATCCAATTTTTTTATTTTTTTTATTTTATAATTTAAGGAAGTTTTGTAGAATTTACAAGTGCAATTTGATCATAAACATCCTCATTAGGCACGTAATAAATGTTTAATTAGGCTCATTTCAAAACATGGCACAACAATTTTATATTAAGAAGGATTTATAATTGATCTCAATCTCTCTGTTTTATGTGATCATTGGGTAGGTTTATCATGTGATGATGCTTAATGATCATATGTTTAGTGGTTTGATAGGCCATGTTAAAAGAAGTGGATAATGTTTATGTTATCCTGAGTACAAGTGGATAATATCCAATTTTTTTTTTTTTATTTTTATTTTATAATTTAAGGAAGTTTTGTAGAATTTACAAGTGCAATTTGATCATAAACATCCTCATTAGGCACGTAATAAATGTTTAATTAGGCTCATTTCAAAACATGGCACAACAATTTTATATTAAGAAGGATTTATAATTGATCTCAATCTCTCTGTTTTATGTGATCATTGGGTAGGTTTATCATGTGATGATGCTTAATGATCATATGTTTAGTGGTTTGATAAGCCATGTTAAAAGAAGATATAGCATACTGCACTCTCAATTTAATGTAGTTAAAAGAAGATATAGCATACTGCACTCTCAATTTAATGTAGTTAGGTAGACGATCCATATTAACCGAAAATGGGTTATGTTTGATCCTAGATATAATCGCTTAGGTTCCAACTTTACTCCAAAATTAGTATTCCTTCCGTCCCAAAATAAGTATCATATTTTTCTTTTTTGTCCGTCCTAAGATAAGTGTCCATTTTCCTTTTTCAAACAATATATTTCACATCATTCTAAAAATGTCCTTTGCGTTTAAGTTTCAAACTTCAATATTTAAAACTTAAAAGGGCAATATAATAATTTTTTAGATAATACATGGTCCCACATGTCCCTTCAAAAATTATTACTCCCCAGAAGTGACACTTATATTGAAACGAGGAGAATAAATTTTAACATTTAAAATTTGACAAAGTTGAGTGTAGAATGAATAGTCCTAACGTAAAATAAGGATCATTTTCTATGTAGGTGGACATTCTAGTGCTCTGAAAAAGATAAGAGATTTCTCCGAATAGAGTGTAATCACTAAATTTGACGTTAAAGTTCTTATTTTTGGGAAATTGGTTAAAGTGTTTATTTATTTATCTTTAAAGTGTTTATTTCAAAAGATTGTACTATAATTTGTATGTTTTTTATCTCTAAAGTATGTCCGTTAAAGTGTTTTTATTTTTATTTTTTATTTTTATGTCCGTTGAAGTTGAATATAGGAAAGTATATGTGCTAACAAATTACACAAGCAATGCCAAAGGAAGTGGGACCCTATTCTTTGGCGTAGAGCAGCAATCCTATTCAGATGCGAGTAATTCACACAGAAAATTCAGAAATAAGAGAGAAATTATTAACAAGATTCTCGATTTGACCTTCAAAAATCGTGACGAAATTATGACCACATCCTCTCTCCATCTCTCTCACTGGGTTTGTTTAAAGAGAATCTATATATACATTATATAAATGTATATGAATCTATATACTTTTGTCCCGCCTGGCTCGAAAGCGCCATGAGTAGAGGACTTTCTACGGAACTCTCAATTAAAACTGAAAACGTAGGAGAAGGTGACTTCTTCGTCTCATTTACTACTCTCCCTTTCTCTATCTAAACTTTCCCCCAATTTCTGTTTCCAAAGCTAGTGAGAGAAAGGCAGGCATGAGAGGAGGGGCCGAAGAGGCCGAGATTGACCGCCTACCTATCGACGTCCTCGCCCACATATTTGCTATCATCACTTGCTTCAAAGATTTGGCTCAGTAAGTTATCATCTGATTCTCGTAATCTTTTTGAATTCTATCACTTTGAGCTCATCTTTTTTTGGTTGACCTATTCTCTCCCCATGATTATGTAAATATATACACGTATTTATGTATGTATGTGTGTGCGGTAATATACAGGGCTAGCAGCGTATGCAGGAAATGGAGGAAAGGAGTGAAGCAATCGCTGGGTCGGAGAGAGAGACTGAGCTTTGCTGGTTGGATAATGGACGATGATTCCACCACTCGCCTTGTTCTTCACGCCTACAGTCTCAAGGAGCTCGACATGTACACTTTTCTCCCTCTCCGTCTCTTTTGTCTGTATGCATTTGTATTTTGATGATCGGTGAATTTGTCTACTATATTATTTCATATATTTCATCTTTATATGTGTGCGTATGTTTTTGTGGTCATTTAGGAATTTGAATGGATTATAATAAACTATTAGGGCAGGATAAAATAAAAAAAAATTGACTATCAGGGAGACAAATTAATGATCGCACTGTTTTGGGTGGGTTGTAGAGTTTATGAGTTTCTTAATTGAAAAAAGAAAAAGAATTTAATGTGCTTACCAATATATATGTGATCTAACTAATGGACAGTAGCCGCCGAGATGGCATGATTTTCCAGTGTTGGAGGCCTGCTAGGGCACAATATTGTGGTGTGTATGCGGTTGCTTGAACTTTTGAAAAAATGTTTATGTAAACCAGTTAAACAGGGGCTAATGTCACCATGCCATGGAAATGGAGGGGCTTCATTGACATTTACGCAGAGTTATGAGAGCATAACGACACCGTTAATGGAAATTGGAGCTGTTGCCACATTTGATTGTGTGCCATAATCTCACAGATTTTTTTATGGAATGCCACTGCATTCACCTTGTGTTGATGATTGCTGTTCTTTCTGGAATAACATATTCATAGTTAAAACAGAAATGACAGTCTCATGAAAATTGTATTGATCCCTCTTTTTTTTTTTTTTTTTGGGTTTATAACATAAAAACTATTTGCTTGAAACTAGCTGTAGGTAGTTCTTCAATGTCCTTCTGCATTATACTGAGAATCCAAATTTGTTTAGTAATGTATCTGTTTCAAGAATTCAAGATTTACTGCTTTGATTCATTAATTTTTGGTTCTTCATATGTCCTATTGCTTTTCAGTTCAAGGAGCCGTTGGGGTTGCCAGATAACAGACAATGGACTGTACCAAATATCTTCAGCAAAATGTGTCAGCAACCTAACCTCAATATCGCTGTGGGGTATGACAGGGATCACAGACGAAGGTGTTGTTCAACTGGTATGTCATCTCTCTCCTGTGAAAAGACATACGTAGTACTTGTTTTGGAGCTACATGTGTTTTACCAGTTTTTCTATAGAGAGATCAGTTGTCTGTTTCCAATATTGTTTACTTATGAAATCGAGTAACATTTTGTATATACTTGATAAATGTATTTCTTAAACAACATACTTGCATAAAATAAGTGTTTTACAATATTATGAATCTTCTGTCTTCTTTAAGGACGCTTTGAACGTTTTGAAGGCAGAGCTGAAGATTTTCTGAATTGTATCATTATCTGGATTTGACATCAATGTTAATTCATTACACACACACACACACACACTTATATATATCTTCCAGGAAGAATATCTATATTGTAGTTAATCTGTTAGTGAGCTGATTCACATTAGAGGGAAAAAAGTTAAACAGTGTATAGATTTGTCTGTCCTATTTGTGTTCTTTGCAACAATTAAGTTACCTTTAGTTTGTTCTTTGTGATTAAATTTAAAGACGTTTATTGGAAAATCATTCATTTGGAGAACAGAAAATTCTTTAAGAAAGAGTAATTATAACTTTTCTCATGATTTGATACAATTCAATATGTCGGTCAAGAGAATAAATTGAAGCTCAAAAGAATAAACTGAAGTTTCAATCACCAAGTGACAAGACTAAAATTGGTGAGAGTTTAGGAACTAGAGATGTTAGCCTTTGGTCTAAAAAAGCCCTGGTATGACAAATTTGCTTGCTTAACAATTAGACATAGAAACCAAGTGTGTGTGTGTGTGTGTGTTTTTTTTTTTTCCCTCTTTCCCGAATTGGTTTTCTTTGTATAAAAAAGAGAACTCGAAAGAGTACAAGGACTAAGGGGGGGCATACCTGATACCCCCATGTACAAGGCCACTATGGAGTAGAACCACTTCCAATAGATAGCCAAAACAAAGCAAGAAAGGAAGAAATTACCAAGAGCCACTAACTGAAACTTCAAGCAATAAAATCAAGAGCAAGAAAGTCCTGCAAGGATAAGCCTAGAAGCTGCAGACACTCCCATAAACGAGACACAACATCCTCTTGAGCAGTTTTTCTATACCCTTCATGCAAAGCTTCATTCCTCTGCCTCCAAACAGGCCATATGACAGTAGGCATGAGATATTGAAATAATTTACCCTGCATAGAGGACCCCCTAACATGATCCAAAGACCACTGCACCAATTGAGATTAGCAAGGAAATGAAGGAACAATAATACTCAACAATTAGACATGATAACCAAGTTTGAAAAATCTGTAGGAAGGATCATCAGAAGCTCTTTGCTAATCTAGATTGCTTGAGGTGTTCTGTATTTTTGTTAAGCCCGTAAGGATTCATACAGGCAATTGTTTCTTAGGAGAGAGTATGAGTTACTGACTTGGAGAATTTTTTCACTTTACTGTCATGGTAGCTCTAGCATGCAACTTGTGCCATGGAATGCAAAGGTTTTCTCTTAGACAGTTAGGAACTTTTTTGGGTACAGGACCTCTTTTTATAATGCCCAACGGAAGATTTAATTTTATGAGTTTATTTCCGATACCTGTTGCATGCTTGCCGCTACAGTAGGGCTTTATCTGGTAGGTTAATGTTTATTATTATTATAACTATTGATTTGTTTTTTTATCTCAATTCCTCCTCGTCGTTCAAAGGGCAGGCTATGATACTGTAACTCAAGATCCTTATTGGGTTTATTTTTGTCCAGAAATTTATTATGTGGTTCCATTTGAATGAGTTATTAGTGAATATTATGTGTATCAGACATGTTAACTTAAAAATTTGACATGTTAAAGAAAAAAATGCTTTGCTTTTCTCAGTTGATTCAATTATTTTCAACAGATTTCAAGAGCTACTTCCTTGCAACACCTGAATATTGGTGGTACCTTTATAACAGATGAATCTTTGTTTGCTATTGCAAATAGCTGCCCAAATTTGAAGGTGATTTTATCTTTATTCATTCTCTCATGATAGATACTTTTCATTCCTGTAAATAAAATGTTGCAAATTGCGTAGATCAATGCATGGGGTATGACGGCTTTTCTAGACTGCAAGGTTTATATTGAAAAGGTTTCGTGTCTAGGTTTCATTTGGGGCAGTAATTTTTACGCCCATATTCCTCCCTACCAAATGCAACTATAACACCAGGTTTTTAGCATGAACTGATCTTGACCAAGAAAATGTGTCCCACTCAAATCACTCATCATTTGTTTTTATCAAGATCTATTATGATAAAGATATATGTTAATGACATTTCCTTTCTAATGGAATACGGTATGTATTGTAATTGTAAATGAATCTACTGTTCTTTTTCAGACTATTGTCCTGTGGAGCTGCCGTCATGTTACTGAGAGTGGACTTCTCATTCTTGTAAATAAATGTCGCAAACTTGAGTCAATCAATGCATGGGGTATGAGGGTTCCTTTAAACTTCTTTATCGGTTTGCTCTCTGTTAGTCCAGCTCTTCAGATAAAGCCTGAAGGACTGCTGCTAAATATTGGAAGGATTAATATGTGGCCCATCGTTGGATAAAACCTGAAGGACTGTTGTTAAATATCGAAAGGATTTCTCTGTGGTGTATTTTGTATGGGTGTCACAGTTGTGGGTGCTTCTACAAACGCTCTGTAGTGCACAAATTGTTTCTCTTTGTATTTATCAATCCAATAAACTGCAGGTGGGGGGTACCTTCGAACTCCTACATCTGATGTGAATATGGAATTCTTCGTTGTGAACAATGCTTACACATGGTTAAATTCATTTATCCTTATTCCTTACCATTGGATCTGAGCTTGGTTCATTCTGATCAACCTTTCGGTTCATGTTGATCAACACTGCTGTGTGTTATTGGCTAGGGTAGGATGAGTGATTTTTATTCTTTTAGCCCATATGCGAGTAATTAGATGGGGGTTAGTGCCTCGAGAATTTGGTTTATCAGGGGATTTTTGGTTATAATGTTACTCTAAATTGTTATTGAATTTCAACAAATTATTCATTGGAAATTGAAAAATTAGGATGAAAACTTTGTGAATTTTTTTAGTACAGTTTGTACATGCAATATTTCAGACGAGGAGAACCAGTGCCATAGTTGGATATTATAGGGAAAAGTGGATTTTAAAATGTATAAAAACCTCTTATAGTATTAAAAAATCATTAAAGAGAAATTAAAGTTTGCCAATTGCAAAGATTCGGTGTTAAATTGATGCTTTTCGTCAGAATTTGCTGAATGCAAACAATTAAAGTTTCTATAAGTGATTCGTCATCAGCTTATTTACAAAGCAAGCTTTCATTTCAAGAAAAAAGCTTAACATTATACTTGATAGTTTCCAAATCTACACAAAATGAAATACAACCTATATTTCATTTCCCCAAACACAACACCAAAAAAAATCTCTTTTAAAATAGTTTCTAGTTTCTACAACACTGAGATGCTACAGATCATAAAAGACAATTTTTTTTTTTTGTAACAAAGCAATCCTGGTGCTTTAAAATGTTAGAATAAAAATACAACAGTAAAAACTATATAATAATAGTGGGAGCACCTCTAAATATGCTATGTTGTGCCTTATCCTAATTCTACCTGCTGCTACATTTCAATCGCCCCATAACCTGAGAAAATGCAAACACCAATCAAGAGAAATGATCAGATAAGAAGAATTACTGTTGCAGGTTTTTGGATAAGAAGTTAGCATGTGTATAAATATAAACCCCAATTTTTATTTATAAACTCAATACAACTGTACTAAACTAATTCTCTAATAAATCAGGAAAGAGGACTCCAAACAACCACACTTCTAAGTTCATTAGTATGACACGAATAAGAAGCAGCAAGGGCTATATTATGCATTCTCGAAAGTGGAGTGGCTCCTGGAGGCGATAAAAATACAGAACTATTGTATTGCTAGCAAAAAGGAGGACGGTAATCTAACCATAGAGAACCTCTTTTTAGAGATACAAAATCAATAGAGGTTATCAACTCAAACAAGCTTCAGAGCATCTTTTTAATCCCTAAAAGGTTTAATTTACAGATTGACACGCGGCCAAAACAAATGAGCTAATTTTGTCGTGATGAACTCTACAATAATATGAAAAAACAACTTCAAAAGAGCTAAAGAGTTATACGAGCTATATAATGCAAATTTCCAAGGTATAAAATCTTCCTTCTTCAAGAGCTGCTGTCACATTATTATGGATTTCTCCAAAAGAGGTTAATTGTTTACATGAAAAAGTTGTTCTCTTTCATCAATGACAATTAGCAATGGTGTGCAAACTGAGAAAGACTGTAAAAAGAAAAAAGAAAAAGAAAAAAAAAAGGGCGCCTTGAAGGGGTTGAAGCCTATCTAAAAGTTAAGTTCCGGCAATGGAGCAGCAAGGGGGAAAAGAAAAGAAATAATTGGTTGAAAATAAACAAACTCAACTTTACACCATAAACAACACGGAAAATGAAACAAAAACCAAGTGATTTTTTTGAGAATAAAAACAGTGATTGGTAACTTAGAAGGAAATAAATAAAGAGTTGGATTACAAGGAAATACAATCATGCATCTTTTAAAAGACAAAGAGTTGTTTGCCTAGAAGGCAAGTGATAAAGAGGCTGCTGACCAAAGCTTACATGGGATGAAGTAATTTAAAATGATTTCAAAAAATTAAATTTAAGAGAAGACGTGGTGTATAATACGAAAGAATGAAAACAAGAATTCATGTGGCCAACCCCATCCATATGGGATAAAGGTAAGGATGCTGATGTTGATTATAAGGAAATACATAAGAGTTGAAATTTCGTAGCTTGCCCAAACAGATTTAAGGTATCTCATACAGGAAAAGAAAATGATATTACCTAGTTTTGGATTGTGCCAATGCAGGGTGCTAAAAGGTGTGGACTGAACACATAGCAAACCTCTAGATTGTTTGCATTATGAATCATACACACGAAAGAAATAGAGAATTCCTAAAGCAACAAACTTTTTTCCATACAAAATGATGAATGTTGTAGACACTTCTTTGATTTCCAGGAACAGTATATTAAAGTAAATGAAGGTGAGCTTTATCTAGTAGCAGCATGATTAAGCTGAACCACTGAACTACATTTGGAGTTACAGAAACCGGCCAAGGTACAGAAACAGAGGACCCTATAAGAAAACAAGGACCAGGGTATAAATTATCCAGATTTGACCTGGAAAGTGAAGTGATGACATACTTGAGACACAAAGCAATATCCCATCAAATCAGATCTACCAAGAGTAGAACTTTGCCATTGCCTTCGGAAGCATCAAGAAGAATTAGTATTGCTTCCTAATGAATATCACAAATTTGGCTAGAGGGCAAAAAATGACAAAGACAATGATATTAGCATCACATGTTTCAACTCACTAATTCATTAATAAGGATTTGAGAGTACTAATTCATTGTTAAAGATTTGAGAATATATTTGTTATTATGTGTTTTTGCGCTCATCCATTCATATGGTAAACATGGGGGGATGGAACAGATATCTTGTACAGTTTTCAGTAAAATGTGACAGGTATTACATAGTACAAATTTTAGGGCTGTGGTGAAATGTGCATTCAGGGTACTGCACAAACCATGACATGTAAAGTTTTGCAGTGATAGGTTGGGCAATAATTTCCTGGAGTAGCTCGATAGATAATAAAACAGAGATGAACATCCTGAAGTAGCTCAATAGATAATAAAACAGAGATGTGACAGTTGCACTTAAGAACTACTCAAGGGATTAGATCAGACAATAAAGGCAAGGGGAGCATCTGTAGTTGCTTGTAATGATAATAAAACAAAGACATGATTTGAGACATGGTGGCACGTCAAATAAACAACTTGTGTGTCGAAGTTGGCTATAAAGTATGAATATGGTGGCCAAAAGGAAAGCTAATGGAATCAATGTAGCAGAAAGCCTCGAACACATAATCCACACAGAAGATGTTACCCTCCATGGGATGCTACGCCAGACTAGTAGATGTATTTAAGTTGTCAATACCTAATTTGAGTAAAAGGCATATAGAGTGAATTCAAAGCTCAGCATTTGACAATGATTGACGCATGTTGAATACAAGAGCTCTCACCGAACAGCCTTTCCAAGCATGTCAAGGATCTAACAACTCAAAAGGCATATTGGCAACTAATCACATGCTTTATCATCTTTCAATCAAGTTTCCTATGCATAACACACACACACTGGTGGATACCAAAGTGAATTTCCAACATGTTCAATGCTCATAAACAAGCCCAATAAAAGCACCTTCATGTTTTATAGTCAGTCACCAAGTATCCTTGGGTTACAAGGTGATCCAGCTTCCAGCAGACTTGAGAAACTATCACCTAGACATTAAATAAAGTAGGCACCTGTCACACCCTTGGAAACTTACAAGCTGAAAGTGCGGCCCTCTCTAGACCTCCATCTTAGTGACAACCCTAGTAGATCTCTTGGGTTCCGCCTAGAAAGTTGGCAGGTACCTGATTTTAATATTTTCTTAATAAGTGGTATTAAGAAAATAGATGGAACATATATTTATGTTGTATATTGCACAAGCTTCTAACCCTATTACATTACTTTACGAAATATAGAGATAAACACGCTTCTTGTGGCTAGTGTAGTCTTGGGTATTTGCTATGCGCATGCTTCTCATCTCTTGTTAGTTGTTATCAGTGCTTCTCATTTCCAGTTGTCTCAGTAAGTCCAACTATTCCTTCCAAATACAAATCAAATTTTGTGGGAGTGGATCTTGTGGCTAATGATGCAGTAGCTGTTTGAATTATCATGAAATATCATTTTCCTTGCATGATTTCCAATAACGAGATAGTGGCATGAGTAATTTGGACAATTCATAAGTGAAAAACCAATGGAAATACTAAAATGACCTTCGGTTGATAGATGGTGAAATAAAATGAGATAGAAAGGGGCAACAAGAACTTTTGCACTTGTATCTGCATGTATGGACAGGGGTGATCACTTGGTGCAACAGAAAAAGCTCGAGCTAACAAGCATGAGGAAGTGGTGTTGAGTCTCAAAGTAGTCAGTTTGTGCAAACTAACACTAAAAGTTAGGTCTATCTAGAACATTTTTCACTGAACACCCCAAAAGTGTGGCAAACATTGGAAATGTATTTTTATGCACCTCTTCTCCATTTTTTTTTTCTTTCATTTTTTTGTATGAATATTGTCTTTCATTTTGTTCTCCAAAGCAAAAGAAATTAAGCTAATCTCCCCCTCCCCCCCAATTCCATCAACATCATTTGAAAGTTGAAAATTTCTGCGTGCTTCTCCTGACTTTTGACCAATTACCATTTAATTTTTATAATTCACATTCGGTACTTACTAAGTTTCTCATTTTTCTCATAGTGCTTTATTATGCATTTACTATCTTTTATTGCCTAAAAAAGTTCATTACCCATGTATGTCTAGCTTAAGAACAGTCCTAGGAGGAAAAGACTAGAGAAAAACCCAACTTTTGATATAATTTTGCACAAAGTGGCTATTCCGAGACTCTAACCCTTGTCTTTGCACTTGTAAGGGGAACTTTCCAATTGCATCAAGCAACGACCACTACTATGTTTTATTGCCTATTAATATAAAATGTTAGAGGATTGAGTCTACAGCTTAATCTTCCAGACACCAAATGATCACCAGCAAATCCCAGTCAACATCTCAACTATATCCACTCAGTACCATAATTACAAAGATAAGACATTCTATTTTCAATACATTTCTCATACATAAAGGGCACGGCACAAAACAATAGATAAATAGATAGCGTATAATGATATATACAAAGTAACATAAAACAGTCCATAAATATGCAAATCAGAGATTAAACATCTTCATTAAGCCCCCAAACATGACCAAAAGAAATAGTTACTCTAAGCTTAGGCGAGAACCAGAATCCATGCAACCTAAGAAACCAAGCCCCATCATAGCAAACAAATGAAAGGAAATAATACAAAACAAAATCAAGTGGGATATGTTTCACAAAACGGCAAAAGAAATGATAAAATGTCAATTTCAAGCACATTGCAGGATCCAAGTATCAGCATAAATTCACATAAAACGTACCTGAACCACATGTCAGCTTTTCTTAGTCTCCATTGGCTAGTCTCCACCTCAAATTCTTGTGCAGCTCCTCATTCTTTTGCATCAACACAAGAACTATAAATGGTTCTCCCCTTTCCAATCAAATTTAATAAGTCTCACTAGCATTCCTTAACCTTCCAGGCTTTGAAGAAAGCTGCAGTATACCTACTCTGACTTCAAAATTTACGTACTAACAAACTAGAAGTGCACTCCCAAGGACGTAGCCCATAAACTGACTACCTCCATTAGTTATCTAATTTAGTTATAATAGAAATAACACCAATGCAAAATGAAACAAGCAGAAAACCAAGATATTTGGAAGATGAACTGTTGAGGCAGATCCTGATAACTGCACGGATCCAGAAAAACTTCCAGCAGCGTTGGTTGGTGGAGTGCTATTAGACGCAACAATGTTTTTGCAAACTCCAAAAGGTGCTCCAGCCTGCGCAACCCTCCAACAGACATGGTATTTACTATCAACTTTATATGTAAAGAAGTCAACCTCAAGAATATGGAAAGATATTTTGCACCAAGTAAACTACAAGAATTTAAACTGATTCTATACTATCCATTTCATCACCTAAAAGAATATCTAAATTACGCTGTCAACAAAATAAAGAACATTATATGGGTCATGAAGTAAAGTTTAATCAAATTCTGTTCTGTGGCATGTCATATCAAGGTTTTGTAGAGCTAACACAAAATTAAGGAATATCAGAATTACCCCGGCAGCGGAACCAAAAAAGAAAAAAAGAAAAAAAATAAGGAATATCATAATTATGTCCCACATTCTCTAAATTTCTTGACACTTCCTATTTGGGATTTATTAGAAAAAAATCCTTAGAAAATCATGGTAATCCATGTTTTGCAGAAAATTATATCAGATTCAATAAATTACTTTAAATTTTATAATTTTGATTCTTTAATCAAGATTAAAGTTGTAAGCAGAATCAATTTGCAAAAATTTATAAGACCAGAATGAAATGAGTCAAATGACATTCCTCATCAATCCATATTGACACTCAAGTTTCTCTTGGGTGGGAGTAGAGAAAATGGAAAAGCATAATTCTAAAGTTTTGTGACTACTTGCAACTTCTGACTTTATTCAATGTAATATCCTGAAAATTTAGGCATAAATTTGGAAGCTCAGTAAAAGAACAGATTAAAATTGATTGTTTGCGCTTCCATTTTTGTTTCCTTTGTAATAAGTAAGAAACAGACCTGCACCCTATCTGAGATTTGGACCTCCCCCTTTTGAGAGTGGCAGGAGATATTTGGACCTGTGATGTTGTGGCCCGAATTTGGTGCCGGGTCGCATTGCGACCCATTGGATGAACTTTGTGTGGGCCCAAGCCCACCAAAAATTTGACCCCATTTTTTGCTTGTGGGTCGTGGATCCTAATTAGTATTCTCTTGTATCCCGATATATAATGGGCATTTAAGGCTTGGAGTGCAACATCAAAGAGGCACTGAAAATTGCAGGGAAAGAGAGTGAGGGCTAAAACTTGTAATCTCATATTATTCACAAAATGAAAACTTTCGTTTGATCTCCACCACGGATGTAGGCTTTGCCGAACCACGCTAAATCTGTGTTCTTTGTGTGTGGCATGTTTATTTCTGTTGTGATTCTTGGTTTTATCTTAGGTTCGTTGCGTTTGTTGTAGCAGGACCAATAAGTGAAAATTCTGGTGAAATTTGGACAAATAAGTAAAACAATTGAAGATTTCAAGAAGTCAAAAGTCAGCTGTATATTTTGCAATTTAAACAAAGATGGTCTCCAAGAAAAGATGTTTAATCCATCAACCGTGAATAAAAAAATCATGAAACAAGCTTAGACTGAAAAAGAGTTGATAAACAACCAGATTGACATGCATAATCAAAGATTCAAAGCACCGACTATTAGGATAAATGGACAAACCTGGCAAGCAGTGACAGTAGTACACCCACACAATGTCTGGCCATTCATTCTATCCACAGCATCAAAAGCACCTCCTCCGTCACTCCTCTGCATAATTTCTAGTTAGAATGCTTAACTAAAACCATAGTCATAAATCTCTCATTTCTACACCCTAAATTTCAATACCATGTAGAAGTTTACTGCCAAAAAATTGGGCATCACATTCCCTGCAGCCCTGTAACAGGTGCCAACCATATCAACAAGTGAAGCTGAATGCTCTTTGCAAGCTTCAGCTTGGACTGGCATTGTTGGAAAGTAATTCTGGAAGAAGAGTGAAGCCTTTTTTGAATTGAGTGGTCCTGACTCCTTCCTTTTTGGGCAAGAGCCTTGTACCAACCCAGGATCTCCCGCTGAAACAAATTAGATTGAAAAGATTGCTATTTGACAAAGCAAGTAAAAATTAAATTCACAAAAAAAAATAAAAATAAATAAATAACATTTTTATAGCACTTACACTCATTTTCCACCAAATACTTCCACTGGTAAGCAATTCCTTCATTAGCTTCCTTTGAAGCATCAGAAGTAAAAACCAGTAATCGGTGGTTTTGTTGGACCATATCAGTCAGAGTGGGCCAATCCTGACCCTTCTTCGGCATTTTGGAAACAGGAAACCAGTATTTGTCTAACCCAGCATCAGTAAACACTTTTGTCAATCCTTTTGGGGCATGTACATAGTCTTCAATTATAATTGTTACAATCTGTGAAGGGTTTCCGCTTAAGAATGCCTCCACTTCCTTCAAAGTGTTAATTGCAGGTTGCTGCAAACATTTGAACGCGAACAACACAACACCATTTTACATAATTGTAACTGAAAAGGAAAATATTATGGACACTAATTTGATGAAATGGGGATTATAAATTACAAAGGCGGTGAAGTTGTAACACTGTCCACGAAATGAATGGCAGAGCCAGATATCATTCTCGAAGTCGTACATATCCAACATCAGTCCCCTCACTCCATTCTAAACAAAATCCATAAAGCACAAATACCATATTAGAAATGAATACACACATTAATCCTACCCTTGAAGGTGGGGGAGTTAGCTTATCCCTATGTATATGCATAGACATGTCAATGGACAATAGAATTTAGGTAGGAAGAAAAAAAGAACTTACTCTCAATTGATTAGTTACAGAGTCTTCTTGGTTGTAGAATGTAATTCTCTGAGCACCCGTTAACAAGGGGGCATCAACAATTGAAAAAGAATTATGGGTCACGAGCCACGTGTACTTGTTGAAGGGCAACCCATTAATCTGACCATCACCAATTGCACAAAAACAAAACACACCCATCACCAGAATTGGCTTGGAACAGACAATATAACAACAAATTTTCAAGGAAAAGAAAACAAAAAGGGTGAAAAAGCTCACAATTGAAGTGGGAACAGTAGCTTGGCCTCTAGTGCAGATGGGCTGAGTCTTACCCATTTCCGGACAGTTACCACAGTAGAGACCAGGGCCACAGTCGGTGGCTGCAGAACATGGGTCTAGAAGCTGCGTAATTCTTGAAATTCAGCTCAATTGCAAAGATGAAAACTGAAATTATACGGATCTATATATATAATATAAACACACACATATATATAAAGAGAGAGAATGAGGGAAAGATGAACCTGACAATCTCCATTAGAGCAGGCAGTGGAAGTGATGACGAACACTGCTAAGATGAGAAATAAATTGAAGAGGCAACCACGAACAGAAGCTCTGCATCTGCTCATTGGGGACTCCGAGAAAAAAGCCAACATGGTACTTGAGAGAATTGGGATGCAGATAAAGGGACAGGGGTAGGGAGGACTTGAATCAAAGCAGTGTCAGGTAGAGAGAGAGAGAAAGCAAAAGTGCAGATGAGAGAGAGAGGGTGCCAATTTTGTGTTGCAATCGCGGGCTTTATCAACTTTATTTATTTATTTTTATTTTCTAATTAATCTGTGTCACTGTGACACTGTCAAAGCAAATCTTTCATGGGGACAACGTCGACGACGCAGGTTTGAAGATTGTCTAGCACGATCATACATGTAAAACAGCCTTGGAGGCATCAAAGTTTTCGGCTGGGCAAAAATAGCACGCATACATTTTATACTAATATTAATATTAATATTAATTTAAAAATTGTTGGTGTCTTTTAAACTTTGTTTTAAGCCCATCTTTGTTCGCAAATCACTTTTCAATTGCTATTCACGTGGTGGGGTAGGTGCTTCTGTTCAGCGAATTATACTGTCATGCACTGCTTGTGTGCAGTTGCATGGTGATTAAGGGTACAAAATGCAACACCGCAACGCATGCCATTGTATGAGACTTGGTTTGGTGGTCTTCGTCAGTCTTCTAATTTGAATGTACATTTTGCCCAATGCAGACTTGAAAAGCATGGTTCATTTGGCTTCTGGAAGTAATCATTCCCTAATCGGGTGCAATGTTAAAATTTAAAAAATAAAGACACAAACACAACATGAACGGCGCTAAAAAATAATAACACAGTACTGTATATTATTTTATTTTTTATTTTTACTCATTTTATCCGTTCAATCATAAATAAAATTACTAATTACAAACTTAAAAATAAATATTTGTTGCCTTTTTTTTTTAAAAAAAATTATATTATTTTTTAATGAACCCATAATATATTTTAAATTTCATCAAATTCTATTTTTAAAAAAGAATTACAAAATCACCCTATCATATCCTGAATGTATTCCATTTTTAAAAAAGAATTACAAAATCACCCAATCATGTTTTGAAAATGTTTAAAATATGTCCTTGCCGTGTCCAAATATATATATATATATATATATATATAAATTTTAGGACACTTCTAACTGTCCGATCTGTGACCGACATCACATAACACCCCCAGGTGAAGTGTCCATGCTTTATAACTTCCAACACATAGGTCAAGGTTTCAAGACCGGTAGAGAGAAGAATGAGAAATCAAGAGTTGTGTTTGAGTTCTGAGGTACACCAAGAACATCGAGAGTAGAAGGTAAAAAAATCTCTTCTTGAGTACAAACTTACAAAGAGCAATTTTGTCTGTTAAAAATTCCTGGCAAAAGAGTGCTCAGGTACACCAAGAACAAACATTTTGGTATCCAGTGAGAGTGATTCAGAAACTCTTTTATTACCATATATGTGTGCCTGAGACTCCAATGCGCATGACAATTTCCAGATAAAACCAGGATACACACAATAAATGTGTTAGAAAAAGAAAAGAAAAAAATTTATAATTTAAGCATAAATTTTCAATAATCAGTCACGTTGCATACAAAACAATTTCCCCTTAACCAACCTCCCATCCCATGCTCCGTCAAGACTGGACTTAACAAGACCAAATCTGCCATGTTTCCTTTTCTACGTGTAAAAGAATTTGATGTAAGATACTGGAATTGAGTTACTAGACTTTGAATTCTTTCTGGCTTTGGTTCACAACTTGAGCTTTGGAATAAGCATGAATCGGAAATAAAATCCAATGAGTTAGGTGCGGAGATAGCAATGGCCTCAAGCAACAAAATGATCAAGTCCCATTCCTTTTAGGTAAATGAGAATGATGCTTCTATCTGAGAAAGAATGGAAAAGAATTGAAACGACAAAAGCGATTGAAATGAATTCTCAATTAAGCGAGCTTCTTTGCACGTCCACTCGAAGGAGCAACATCATCTTTCTTGGTACCAGATGCCTCGGGCTTCCTTGCCCAAGCAGGAGCTCTGTCTGGCTCGTAACGGTAATCATAAAAGAGTTCCTCCCCTGCGCAAATTCGTTCTTTGGCAAATATGCCTACTCTGTGATCCCCTGTGACCATAATGACCTGCCACAGGATTGTGGTTGCATGTGAGGAGAATTGAACAAAAATCCATAACATGGTGATTCCTCAGTGTGTCTACTCATAAATTTAAGTCTTTAATAAGAGTAAACTACAAAAATCAGATGCATTTAAATCTGATTAATGAAGGCAGACAAAATGGCACCTTTGCATAGCAATTTGGATCTGGAGCATGATTGGCAAACTTCAGTTTGTCCCCCTTCCTATAAGCATCAAGAACAAACTGCATCCAAAAATTAAAGCAATTGTAATTCAGATTTTACATTTTAAGAATAGAAGAGTTTTTATTCAAATCAAATTGGAAGTCAAATAAGTATCATGCCTGATCGTTCAGATTAAAGAGAAACGAAGAATTTTCACGGTCATAGATCTTGCCACGCTTGTCTGCTTCACGATGTGAGATCAGTTCTCCAGTGTACTCACCAAGATATTCGTGCTTGCCAACACTATTCTGGAGAGTGGCTAAAGATTATCCCAAGGCAAGAGAAAAATAAAGCTTGAAAAAGTGCGTAAATGGTACTAAAATATTACCTTCAAGAAAGCACCCCAACCAGATACATCAGATCTTCCAAGCAAAACCTGTACGTACATAAAAACTGACTAAATTCATTAGAGGATGTTGCTAAAAGAACTACCATGTAAAGATCAGCAACTTTTATTTGCTAATTACTTTCTAGCACAGTATTACTGAATCCAGTGCAACCACATATTGCAATGAATACCAGTACCAACACTTAGACTAAATATATAACAAAAACTTATCCAATAACATTATAAAGCTGAATAAATGAAAAAGACGGCGGGGTAATGAAACAGGTAAAGTAATTAGTTCCCTCTAATAAATATGTAGAGAACTTTTGACTGCAGACCACCACTCTCTAATCTATAACTGAAAGTTGATTAATTAATCTTAAAATTTGATTCCAAACCAAGTGACTTGCAAGATAATACTACTACAATATCACAAGATCAGAGATTTAGAAATAAACCTTTCAATGTGTTTGAATTTACCCGTCCTAATCGTATTATAAAATTTATCATGATTTTTTAATTAGAACAGCATCAGAACTTCGGTTCAGTCGGGGAAAAATATGTTAAACCTATGTTGTCAGTTCACAGAAAGTAAAATCCAACATGTGATTACTACATGATCAAACAGGTCTGCCACTCCAGCCAGTTCTCATTCTATCCTTTGGAAGAATATGCTGCAACTTAGGGAATTTATGGGAAAAAATATTGGTTACAGAATTGGTGATGGTGCTGCTACAAGAGTATTTTTGGACCCATGGTGCCAAGGTCAGACTCTCCTTCAAAGATTCTCTCACACAATATATAGGGAAATTGGATTGCCAAGGAACTCCATGGTCTCCTCTCTAATTAGAGATGGTACTCGGTGCCTTTCTATTCCTCATTCAGCTGCTGCACTTGAGCTTCAGAATTTTATTTTGTCCATTACTCTCCATCAAGGAACTGATCAGATTGTGTGGAAGGATGGTCAGTTCAACTTCAAATCCGTTTGGAATGCTATGAGGACTCATCATTCTAAGGTTTCTTGGTATTGCCCATGTTGGAATGGATGCAGACATAGAGTTTCTACTACCTGTTGCCTCATTTTCATAACAAGATTCTGTCTTTAAGCAACTTGAGGCTCAGAGGTCTTGTTCTCACATCAGTATGTCATCTTTGCTATGGAGATGAGGACTCTGTTACTCATCTGTTTGTTATCTGTCACTTTGCTCAAGGAATTTGGATGTGGTTTGATGCTCTTCTGAACTGGCATATACCAAGCTTTGTGGATTTCCAGGCTTTGACAAACTGGTTTTTACATCACTTTAGTTCTAGTTCAGTCAAACATAATTGACTAGAAGACTGTTTTCTACCTCACTTTGGTATATCTGGGCTAAGAGGAACTTAAGATTTCATGATGGCCTGTCTAGATCTATTGAGGAGGTGGCTAGAACGATTAGGTGGGAGACAATTTCTGTTCTGGTCTATGTATGGAGGATACTCTGCTGCTGGGTTGATATTCTATTATGCTGGTGCAATGCTTGCTAGAAATGATGTGCTGCTTTTCATGTTGAGATTTATTTCAGTTTAGATCTTCCTTTAGCCAATTCTTGTTTTGGCTCTGTTTTGGCTTTGTTCACATGGGTATTCCCTTGTCTTCTCCTTGTACTTATTGTTGATATCAATATATTTATTCCCACTTTACCTAGGAAAAAAACCAGGAAAAAAAAAATCCTGCAATAATACTGAAAAAAAAAAATTATTGAAAAAAACGAAACTTTTTACTAGCTAGTCAATTGTGTGAAAGAATAAAAAATCATAGAGACAAATTTTAAGATTTAGACGAGATTATTCGGTGAAACCAGTACAGCTGTGCTGTAGCCAGCAATAATGAATGATGATCCAACAGAACCAATATATATTCAATTATTCAAAAATCATGGAGTATAACAAAATACGCTTCTGAAGAAAGTTAACAGAAAAACATCTTCACATAAGATGCCACTTCCTATGAACAAAGATCATCCATGACCATCTTTATTCCCAAATATGTTTGATGATGCTTCCTGTTGCTACTAAGGACTTTCAAAGCCAAAATACATTATCTTCATCTCAATGGTCAGTTTAATTCCCAGATTCAAACACAGAGCATTTTCAGGAATCACCTTCCTGAGATCACCAAGGGGACTATTCCTATTTGGAAAAGCCTTCAGAAAAAATATAATGGAAGGTTCATTGAAATGGCCACAGGGGGGGTAAACGCCAAGCTAAATAAAAGTTTCTCCAACATGGGCACTTATGGCAGCAAAGTCCTTCACAAGTATTAAAGGGCTTCTAGAAAGGTACAAAAAGGAAAAAAAGACTCAACCCGGTGCTTTATTTGTATTCATCAACTAAGACACTTGTTTCATATTTTAAAACCTCACGTTACTAAAGTATATCACTGTGCAACAAGGTAATCTTCAAAAACAAGTAATAAAAATGATAGAAACTTCTTATTTTTGGTAAATTAAAATGACAAACTTGCTGTTCTGTGTGCAGAAAATTGGTCAAGAGAAATAAAGAATAAATCATGATTACCCTTTGTTGCTGTTTAAGAAGAAGCTTCATGTTCCTACATTCATAATTATCGCCTCTTTGGCAAGGAACCCCAAGAGTGCCATCACCGCAACTGCAAGGCGAATTAGAATGTGTAATTGGGAGAAAGTCAAATGGACAGGGGGAGCTACAAAGAGTATTGATAGAACAATAGAGACAAATAGAGTGAGTATAAACATATATAGACAGTGGACACTGATAAAAATTACAATCTTGAATCCAACTGAGATATAAAAACGTGAAAATTACTGAAATGCTCATAAATAATGTCAATACTGATTAATGATTCCAGAGTTTCAGAACATGCATATGTACAAATATACATATGTCGTTATGTACAAACAAATATAAATATATATATCAAAATATGACAAGTTAGGGTTCTTCAATCATTATTAAATCTTTAGAGAAAAAAATAAAAGAAAAAGAGATTAGTTTCAACAATTTGAAGCAACATGGCCAGGACTATCAGTGTAATTCCGATGCAATTTGATGCATTTCAATAATAAACACCTGCAGAAACACCTTTAATAAATCATTCTTATTCAAGGATTTATATGAACGAAGAGCAAGTGGTAAAAACATGGTCCAGACAATAGATTTCATAAACACAAAAGGTGTAGCAAAATCTTTTGCAATCTTGAGACCACATAAGGTCATTTCCCAGTGTATGTCCTGCCTATTCTTGGTGCTGGGAATGGAAGACAAAATAGACTTTGATCAAACATGCTTATATTCTCCCCCCCTCCACCCCCCCCCCCCCCCCCCCCCCCCCCCCTCCCTCTCTCTCTCCAAATAGGGGTCACCATTTTTAGTACCATTTTAGCTCAGCCTCATAGCAAATTCTCATTGAAAATTCATGTAAACTTGAGGTTCTAGATGCCAATATATAAAAGCACGAGTTCCATATCTCATTCTTGACTTTGACCTTATTCTTTTTTCCCCCTTTCTGCCTTTAGGCTGTATTATCTTATTTTCAACAAGACCTTTACTAAATACAAATCAAACATTCAGTTATTTACTTCTCTAAGAAGTTTGACAACCATTTTTTTAAACTTTTTTTTATCCACTTTCAACAATGAATTCAGGTAAGACATACCATTAAAATTCTGGAAAACTTCCTCTTACAACAGAATCCAAGATTTCTATACCTCATGCCTTTTTCAAATGTCTCATAGTAGGATAATTTTTTTAGGCACCATTAACCCTCGAGTTTTGTTGGACACATTTTAAAGTGTTAGGTCATCTCCACTGTTGTATCATTTAGCTCTTATTTAATGCCTTTTTCCATAAGGCTCCATGTGTTTAGAAGGGAAGCTTTGGAAAGTGCCTGAGATGGAAAAAATTTCAACTTTTATAACAGTTAGGAAAGCAGGAAAAAGAAGATTTTGGAGACAGTAAGATTCTAGTAATTACTTAATTTTCTCCCAAAAGTTTCATGCAAAGAAGTACAAAAAAGTGTATTTTCTATTAATTTTCATGTTTTCAACTTTCTTGTAAAATTTTCATCTGGCTAAAGTACTTCCATCCTTTCATTGTACTCTAATTTGTCAACAAAAAGAATGGTCCCCATAAATTTAGCTGTCCTCCAAATTCGATATAGCACGATGTGTATCTGATATCAGGGAAGATAAATCATGCAAAAACCAAAACAAATTTGAGATCCACCATTGTTATTTACCATGGTTTATTTTAATAGCAAGACTTCCATTGAATAAAGCTGTTACATATATAGAGTGTAATCATACATCTGATGGATTTTAAGTCACACCATTGAAATGGCCTGAGCATCAAATTGAATGACAGACATTGAACCAGAAGCTCAATTTTTTTTATTTTGAATTAATATAAAACATTTAGTTATTCAAAAGAATAAGGAGAATAAAGGTAACGTACAAAGAACACCCAGTTGTAATGTTTTACATCTACTAAAGGAGCACCATTTTTTGGAAATGGGACTAATGAAATCCATACACTAGAATGAATCTCAAGCATGGACCCCATTTTGGCTCCACCAAATTCGCTGTGAACCAAAATCAAAGTTGAAATCACTCTTCTAACTTACCAACTTCCCTTATTCTAGCCCCAGTTCTATATTCCCAAGTTTCCCTTGGTATGCAAACATTTGGGTCATGACAAACATTCCCTAGTTTTAAGAAAAAGAGAAGCTATTATTCAGTTATCCTTAGTTAAGAAATCATACCGCCTTCTAAAAATAATTGCAACTTCAGACGCATCATTTATAATATGCAGAAACTAGAAAATATCGATTCTCCTCTCCCTCCCAGTTTATGATACATAGAAATATCAATTCCTCTCTCTCTCTATATATAAAAATATATATATTTATATATTCACACTTATTAGTACAAACCCATGTCACTGCAAAAAGTAATGGCCCCACCTAAAAGCCCTCATAAGCTGGACCAACACTATATAATGACCTTTTTATCCACCCTCAAAACTTCTGAAGCTCTTAAAAGTAAGTGTTCTACTTACTGCTGCATTCTTCTTCCAAGGTTCACAAATGTAAAATTAGTCATTTGCTTTTGCATCTCCATTTATGCCAGTAACGAGAGGCTAAATAACAGATACTTCATTTATAAGTATAAAAAATAATGTCACTTATCAGGTTAAAGAAAAAGTAACAGATTCTGTCCAAGAGTTTTTCTCTCCAAGCATCTACAAGCCCATATCCAACAGATAGAAACATGCCACGCTATCCCTTGTTCAACTACCCACTATGTTATGATTTCATGCATAACTTAATCCCAACAGAAATGATGATGATGCTTTTTTTAACCGTTAGATATGGGCTTCGAGACACTTGGAGGGAAAAACTACTGACATGTGCCAAAAAATTGAAGATTGACAAAAGATGTGTGCAATGCTTTTTCATCTTTAGTTGCAGAATGGTTTCATCATTAACCAGTGCTTAGCTGAATGAATTAGATTTTATTTTCAAACTAGCATTTGCTGCAAGCCACCAACATTAGTTCACTGAACTCTAGAAAGAAATGATAGGAAACTCACCTGACCCAACAATTCCTGCAAACATCTGGATCACATTCCCTGTCTGCAGCAAAGCACGGACATTGACGACTTCGACACTGACTTTTGGCACAATGACAGCCTCTAAAACGGTTCTTGCAACTCTTTGGACATCTAAATAAAAAATGAATTCAGAATCAAACAGCTTTAAGAACCCTTTGGACATCTAAATAAAAAATGAATTCAGAATCATACAGCATTAAAGCCTGTGCAGTAGTATATAAACATATAATTTACTCATTCATGACAGTTATAACTGGGATTCTCATTTTTTTTTTTTTTAAAAAGGTAGCGATGAACTCTGCCTCTCCTATATTGGTAGATATTTTACATCTTCACTGCAGAGAGAGAGACACAGAGAGAGAGAAAGAATGATGAAGGCTCACCCGCAGTATTTCTCACAGCAGGTCCCATTTACAAGACAAGGACACTGCTTTCCACAGGCAGATTGACATCCACATGGGTTGTACTGCCGGCAAGGCTGATCTTTCCTCTCAGAAATCCGTTTCCTAATTGAGTGGTAGCCAGCAGACTTCCAACTATACTTTAAGCGACGAACTCTGCCTCTCCTACGCAAAAACCTTGATCTTCTTCTAGGTTCATTACCCTAATGAGCATTTCAACCAAAAAGAATAGAAGTAGAAGCATTCATTAATTAGGTAAAAAGGTCATTAATTAGGTAAAAAGGTTAAGAGGAGTTCATTCTAACATGCCAAGAAATATAGATAAAGTGATTACCGTAGTATCATTGCAGTCAACCTTGCCCTCAACTAAAGAATTTGCACCAACACCTGCTCTGGAGAACAGGTTATTCTCAGAGCAATTCATGTAAAGATATACCTCCAAACATGTCTTCATACCATTCATGAGATTCCGAGCAATTAAACAGCTGTGATGCAAAATAAGACCATCATTAGAAAATCAATGAATTGGCAGAAGTGGGATCCCCTAAAAATAATTTAAGGCAGAAAAAATCAAAATATTCAGCAATATGAACTGTGTTACATGGACTCTCCCATTCCCCTTAACGCAAAACCGTGTTGACATGACATGGGTATGAGTGGGTGATATGTGTTCAATACACGTATTGAAAATTGGACCATCCAGATCCTCTACATATGATGGAAGAAGAAATTTCATGCCAAAGAAGGGATTCTTACATTTCAATAGATGGAGTCCCCCCCACCTTTTTACCGTATTCTGTGTAACTTAAATTATAGGATAAAATGCGAAAAAAAAGAAAAAAAAAAGCCAAACTATTAATTTGTGGCAGTTAAGGACAATCCGGTAGTTGGGTTGATCGGAAAAAGCAAAAGACACTTGTACCCTTAATGAAACTATGTCATTTTGACACTTATATGCTTAATTGTATGATGTGGAAGTTGTAATCTCATAGACCAATGAAAATGCAACAACTCATCCAACACCAATACCCCCTCCCACTTTCTCTCTCTACAACTATCTACACCTTCAAAGCCTATGGACCGTCTCTCTAACCCATTGACCCCTCTTCCATTTTCTCTCTCTACAAAAATCAAGCCTATCAAAAGCCAATTTCTCATATATATATATATATATATATATTAACACAAGGTAGTCTATATATATAGACACAAAAAGAGAGTATACAGAAGGGAAGCGACATAGAGAACGTACACAGAGGCGCACAAAGCAATGTATATTTAGACAGAAGAGAGTACAGAAGGGAATTATATATATATATAGACACGCAGAGAGAGGAAAGAGGGAGCGTTTAGTCTATGTGATGCACGTTGACCATGCTCCGGGAGCACATAAGCGATATGCTGAACGTCGCCGACACGAGCTTTGGCGAGATTAATTTCTGAGAACATGAAAATAGGGTTTTGCAATCAATAAATTTCAATTGCAGTTGGGTTTGCTTGGTGATGCGCGAAAACATATTCATGATTTATGCAATTAGGTTTGCAACACGAGTGATTGAGTGCCTGTAAATTGAATAGATTCATCAAGTGTGATTGGGGATAGAGGAGTTGGCAAGACAGATTCATCACGTGTAGGGTCACTGGTTTCAAGGTATGATCGGAACTAGCCCATGGAAGCTCTCATATCTTTTTTCCACTTTCACAGTCATCATAAAGATCACAAAAACGTTTCCAATTCTCGGAGGATGAAGAACAATTAATTATCCAATTGTGTGGTTTCTCTTCAGGTATTTCCTGATAGAGACCGATTCCAACTAAAAAGAAGATGAACAGTGATATATATACGTGTGTGTGTGTGTGTGTGTGTGTATTGATATAAAGGCGTGTTTGGGTGTTTAAGAAGTGTTTCGGTGTAGTGTAAATGTCACAATGGGGCTTTAGTGTCTTTCCATGCTCATAAGGATATTATGGTCATTAAAACTATATTGTGTGTCATGTGACCAGCGCATGGTCAATTTAACGGTAAGACCCCACCGGAGTCTTGACAGATGGGGCAATCTGCAACAAAAATGCATAGTTCAGGGGGTTAGTTGCAACTTTAGTAGTTTAGGGGGTTAATTGCTAATTTCTCAATAGTTCAAGGTTTTATTTTTTTTGGCATTTTACCCTAAATTATAATTGAGTATATTTAGATAAATTATATTATTATGTACCATATTATGTATTTAAATGTGCAAGATGTGTCCACTAGCCCTCCTTCAAGTTTTGAATAGCTCCATTGACCTAATATTACTAACAAGTATGCAAGATAAGCAAGTTCATTAACTTATTTGTCGACGACCATCTGCCTTGGAAAATTAATGTTAGATAGCAATTAAATTGTTCAAACAATGACCACAGTTATCACACTCATGGCATGCATTGAAGACACCAGTGAAGCCAAAGATAGGAAGAAAAAATCATATAAGATCACTGTCATAAACCAAGACCAATCACACAGTCAGAAAACAATGGTAATCCATTGTAAGAATGTCAAAGCAAGTTCTGAAAGAAACACATGTTGAAGGATTTAAATATTAAAGTGACACCCTCTTTAACATATTAAGCTTTTAGAGTAGATGGTTGTTAACATGACGGTCTCGAGTTCAAATCTCACCGTCACCCTGAAAATTAAAATTGAAAAACATGTGTTGAACCAAAAGAAGTCCACAAGTGAAGGGGCGTGTTTGAAGGATTTAAATATTAAAGTTACACCCTCTCTAACAGCTTAAGCTTTTAGAGTAGATGGTTGTTAACAACATGCATGTTTAGAATCATCTCAACCTGGCTACCAATAACCAAATGCAAATAGAAATAACTGACCTGTTCCTGCCAAAAATCTCCACACCTTTTGCAAAAAGGGCTTTTTCAATAGCTTTCCAGGATTTATCATCACTTACATAATATTTACAGGTGTTCTCATCCACAAACTCTTCTTTCCTCAAGGTGTCATCACTGCAAGTGGCATGTCGTCCACTAATAATGCCATCTAGTGGACCATCAGGAGCTTCACCCTGTACAGTTTTGTGATTGTGCAGGATCGGAAATCCCTTCTTCCTAGACCTTCCAGCACTTGGAGATTTTGCTTTCTGTGAAGAAGAACTAGCATCTTCATTGTCTTTTTGTGAATTAGATCGAATTTTCACATCTCTTGAACCAAGGCTTCCACTTAAAACAGAATCAGAATCAGAAGCCACTGCTTTCTTCTGCTTTTTCCGCATGCAAAATAAAACACGCTCAGCAACTCGTTTGCTATTTCTTTTCCGAGCCCCACATTTTCCAACAAGCTTAGTCTTGGGTGATGATAAAGAGCCCGGGGTAGAAGGGGTGTCTTGTATGGGTCTAATCTCTGAGTCACTGCTTTCTGATATGTTTCTTGCACTTGATGAAGCACTACCATTTTGGCAGGACTTTGCCCTCCTTCGTACAGATGGTCCTGCAGAATTCCTCCTCGATATCTGAGACCCAACAGCATCAGATGCAGGAACAGGTTTTTCGTCAAAACCGACTTGTATGGGCGAGCTTGCTGCAGCGTTAGATTCTGACTTTAGGACCTGACAAGAATCAATTAGAAGCTACTTCATTAGTTAGTATGCAAATGATTCAAGGAGATAAATTCCCTGCTACACTTACCAAAGTAGTCATAAACCAAACATATTTAATGAAAATGCCAAAAGGGAGGTTAGGTGTTCAAGTCTCAGAAGAGACAAGTGTGAGCGAGTACGAACTAGGAAAAATAAAAATAAAAGGGAGGTGCTAGGTTACAGGATTCAATTCTTTCTTTCATTTGAAAAAAAATAAAAATAAAAATAAAATAAAATAAACATATACCAGTTGATAACAATGCTGGCCACATGGTACATTTTTATCATCTGGATAGCACCATGGAAGTTGTTTCTCAGCCTGAAAACAGTTAGAATAATGAATAAAGAAGGATCCTGGAAATTTCCAGTATTGTAATTTTCATAAAAATAACTAAATACAAAATCAAGTTACAGGGAAGACAAGATCCTGTGAACACCCATGCAATCTACAATCAAAGACCTGCCAATAGAAAACAGAAATTGCGAGAGAGTTAGTTATGGGACAATAGCACCAAATAAATAAGAGAATGAGAGAGTAGGCAGCAGCATTTACAAGACAGCGACGACAAAATAGATTGTCAAAAGAATCCAGAGCGGCATCAAGATCTTTATCAAGAAATGAATCCACAGCCCCTTCAGTATCCCCATTCTTGGAGACTGCCGCAGCATTATCTCCCTTGATAAGAACTTCGTATCTTGCCTGTATAAGATGTTTGATGGTGGTTCATATGTCTGTAAAGCCAGCACAAAATAAATGGGAAACAGCTGGAGCAAAGCTTAAACTATGACCAGTTTGGATAATTAGATAATGGGAAGGAGAACTGACAAGCAGTGCACGAATAGCAATAATTAACAATAACATTTAGTAGTAGTAGTACTTAAAGCTTGGGCTACCAAGTGTGGGAATGTGTTAAACTTTGAAAACAGTCGCTTTGAGAAAACAAATGTCAAAAGTTAGGTTTACACCAGTCTACTCTTGGCATTAATTAATGGAAACCACACTGGGTAAGAATAATAACAAGAACAATAATAGTTAAAGCTCGGGCTGCCAAGTGTGAGAATGTAGGTTCAATTTTGTAATCAGACACATTGAGCTAAACAAATGTCAAATGTTAGGTTCCTACCAGTCTACTCCCAGCATATTTAGTTAACAGAGACCACATATGGTAATTTCCTTTAACATACTAAAAAACTAATTCTACATACAGAACTAACACACCAAAATTAAGACCAACCAAACATTCTCATTACAGGTGGATACCTTAACTTCAGAAGGCTTTCTAGAAAAACACTGCGCCAGCATATCCAACACAGCATCAGATAAACCAACTTCTTTGATGGTCATTCTAGCAAAATCCCATTAGAAAGCACTGTAAGAACATATACTATTTTCCATTTTTCCATGTAAAAACTTCATAAAAACATGTTCATAAAAACATTCTGATAATATATGCATTATTATCTTCAACAAACATATGTCATGCGTATATTATTTCGATAAGGTATGTAAAACCTAAATGATACATATAGAAACAAAATGCTGAGTGCAGCACAAAATCTCAGCGAAAATTTAAGAAAAAAGGAAGCAAGATCATATATGATGACTGCAATGCATGCGTGCAGCGATGCATTGGCACCAATATTGTAACTTGTAAGGTACTTCCAGGGAGAAGCCTGGGAAGGTGTTCAAATTCCTTGAATTATGAACAAAGATTTCTTTTAAGAGGGTAATTCTAATGATCAAATTCACAAGTTATTCAGGGACTGTCCTTGTAAGTCATGTCATTGTGATAAAAATCAGGTCCCACTGTTTGTTTTAATGAAATGAAGAAAATTCATTTGAGTTGAAAGAGAGTGAGGGGAGAGGTAAAAAGGTAAATTATTGTTCCAAGTGATAAAATCAAATAAATGATACTTGGGGGAAAAAATCAAAAAATTTATCAAGAAAAGATAAATAAATCATTGAAAGCACAAATATATTTTCATAATATAAAATGACAAGCAGCACAGACAAAAGCGTAAGAATGGTAAAGGCCCAATAGCACAAGTTCATCAGTGTTTAAGGAAATATGCACATGCAATGGATGGAAGTGTGTTTTGCCGAGTGAACATTGAATAATGCTAAAAAAAGAAAAATCATTGCTTTGATGAGAAGTATCTCTCAGACTTTTGCTTCTATAAAAGAAACAAAAAAATATCATGCACATGCAATACAGAATACATAGGACATATTTGAAAGCTTGCAGTGGAAGTGATTCTGAAGCTGTAAATTGAAAAGCATTTAAAGAACAGTAGAAAGACAAGTGCATTACATAATTTAGTTATACTAACCGAAGAATATAATCTTCAGAATCCCCAAATTCTTTTTTTTCTTCTTCATCATCAATTACTTCTTCCTCACTGTCACTGCAAATTAGAGCTTCACCGCCATTTTGATCATAATAAATTCTCCTCCGACCTACTACTGACTGATCCTCTGTCATTCTTTGATTTCTGCATCAATTTTATAATAATATCAGTAATATCTCAAAAAAGCTCAAAATAAAATATTAATGAACATGATGGACATATTATCATTAAATAACATTATTGAACAAAACTTAAAAGAGTATTTCCAGAATTGGGCCAAACTCATGCCTAACTAAACAAAGCCTTGTTCCAGCTCCCAACCACTTGAGGTCTACTACATGAATATTGTTTCGCAATTCTGTTATGTGCCATAACTTTAGTTAAAAAAACACATAATGGCAAAAACCATATAAAAAATCTATTTCTAATCCATGCAAGCTAAAACTCCATGCTTTTCAATCAGTTGCGGTCATACAATACATGCCAATGAGCCACTTGAATCAAACATCTTGATTACCAAGCAATTAAATGATGTAATTGAGCATTTAAAGTATTCTCATTAATTGTTTTCAACTTATCACTCAAATACAGCTTGAAAATAATAGTAACAGACTAACAGCAACCTGTGAAATTAAATGAATGGTGACACCTTTAAGATCTAGAGCTCATAAAGAGACAATGTGGCATGTGCTACACTCGGCTGCTAAAGACATGTCTCTCTGAATTTAATATGGAAAATGAAGAGATGAGGGGCTCATATCTCCAAAGACATTAGGAGTCAAATGTGTGAGGCTCGGTGGGCGGGAGCAGGCCTGTGAGAGGAAAGGCTCTGGTGTGAGCTACGTGTGCTCACAATTCCCACATTGCCTGGGTGTGGAAGAGTGAAGTGCTATATGTAAGTTCATCACTCTTTTATGACACAACGCGTTTTAAAGCTGTGATGATCATGAGCCTATCAAAACTCTGGAATTTAGCGTGCTTAACCTGGAGTAGTACCAGGATGGGTGACCTCTTGGAAAGTCTTTGGTTTGGGGGAGCCAAAAGCGGACAATATTGTGTTTGGTAGGGTGAGGGCCATTACAAATGGTATCAGAGCTTGACTCAACTAGAAGTGTGCCGACGGAGACGTCGGACTCCCAAAGGGGGTGATATTGTGAGGCTCCGTAGGCAAAAGCAGGCCTGTGAGAGGAAAGGCTCTGGTGCGAGCTACGTGTGCTCACAATTCCCACATCACCTGGGTGTGGAAGAGTGAAGTGTCATATGTAGGTTCATCACCCTTCTATGACATAACGCGTTTTAAAGTCGTGATGGTCGTGAACCTATCAGAACTCTGGAGTTAAGCGTGCTTAACCTGGATTAGTACCAGGATGGGTGACCTCCTGGTAAGTCTCTAGTTTGGAGGAGTCAAAAGCGGACAATATTGTGTCGGGTAGGGTGAGGCCGTTACAAAATGCATGGTTTGATTGAGTGGACATTGCAACTTCCAAAAGGAAAATAACAACTCAGATGAGATACAGCCCAATGCTCAAGTGCAATGAGAAAAGACATAAAACACTAGGTTAGATATAAGGGGATATAGCATTAGCACAAAAGCTCAAGCCTCAAGCATGTCCGTCATGGAATCCAGCGTAACCTAAATGGTCTAAGTTGTCTCACACACACACACAAACACTTTTAGAGGGGCTTTTGTGTGTTAAACTGCCTTCCAATGGAAAAAAGACACCCAGACATCCAGAAGTCTTTGATAAAATGATCACATCTCAAAACCCCCGTGAAGGGATCCCACCCAAACCAATTCATCAAGCCCTTCCTCATCCGCTATCCAAGGGTATAGCAAAGCCAGAAACTCTACAATATCCTTCAACTCCCAATTTGGAAGATGTCGCTTTGAGCTGCACATCCCATGTCACCCTCCAGTTATCAAGATGATAACAATCAGAAACTGAAATCTGCTTGTCCATTGCAATCCTAAATAGTCTCATAAAAGTGCACGTAAGAGGTCTATCGCCACACCCAGTATCTACTCAAATTGAACAAGTCTCCAACTCGTCACCTTGAACCAAATATGCTTTGAAAACTAATTCCAATCCTTTTGAATGAATTTCTGAACTCCCAATCCTACTGGAGAACTCACCTCCCTAGAGCTACATATAACCCTGTCCTCCCCAATTTTACTCCCTATGGCCCTCCCCAACTTTACTCACAATGGACCTCCTCCATGATTTGGTTCCCTCCACTCCAAAACTCCAAAGATATTTGCCCAACAAAGCTTTGTTGAACGGATCAAACCTCCTAATACCCAGCCCCCCTAACCGGACTGGGCTGCACACCTTTTCCTAATCCACTAATGCCGGTTTGGTTGGAGAAAAATGGAAGAAGAAGAAAAGAATGGAAATAGAGGGAAAGGGTATGAGAGTTAGTAATTGGTTTTTTGCCCTTATATTTTATAACAAGTGAATTCCAATTTTGCCCTTATCACTCACAAAATAAAAAATCATTTACTTCTTTCTCTCCACTATCTTTCCCAAACACTATATAAGGCTAATACTACCGAACACACTGAGGGGTTAACACTGTCTTTCCTTCCTTTTCTTTTATCTCATAACTAATGTTATTCTTTCTTTTCTTTTTCCTCCTATTACACCAAACCACATCCTAAATGAATCTTATATTCATCACTCATGCATCCCCATAGAAATTATTTTTATGGCTTCTCAATCCTCTTCACAGCAGAATAGGAGATCTTAAATAAGGATAGAAAGTAAGTTGGAAGAATCGAAAGGTACTCTTAATTAGAGTTATATGGCCACCTTTGGAAAGATATTGCTCCTTCCAACCTGCAAGTCTCCTCTCAAACTACTACAAAATTGAATCCCCCCCCCCCCCCCCCCCCCCCCCTTCTTCAAACCCCCAAAAAATAAAAAATAACCAACAGACTTGTGGCCTAGCGGTACAAGGCTCCTATTTTCCCAAAGGAAGGTTAGGGGTTCGAACCTCAGTGGAGGCAGTGTGTGAGTCCCAACTAGGAAAAATAAATAAATAAAATAAAATTCCCTTCTCTTCCTCCCAGTCTTCCCTCCTACTAAACAGAAGAGTATAACTTAAATGGACATATAAGCAATAACTAAACAGTTATTTCTGAAATATTTTATAATGATTATAGATCAATAATATGTATCAGGTTCAGAACTTTTATTATCATGTGAAATGAGGAATCTGAAAGGAACAACATTACATCGTACAAGCAAGCAAAGGAAAAAGAAGTTATGTTTAGAGACCAAAACAAAACTGTTTTGACTGAAAACATAGTAATCTCAACACACCTATCCAAGAAAATCCAAGTTGTGTAAGGAGGTAATCTTTTCACTTCTGCAAGCTTGATAGGGCGAACAACATTCTTTACTGCAATACTAGATCCTAGAAGAATTGCTGAAGATGCATGGCCATCTTCTTGGGAGCTATTGCTTTCTTTGTCTCCATTATTTATATCATTACCATTTTGCATGTCAATTGCATCTTTCTGCCTCTTTGTCAATAAATCTACACTTTTATCAATGCCGATTAACTTACTGTTTTTTCTTTCCAATGATAATTTATAAAGATGGTTGCTGACATCAGCCAGTTTTAGCCTGTTATCTTCCATTCTTTTCTGAAACCAAAAAATAACAATACATAAATAAAAAGAAATAAAATTTAATAAACATGCTATAATACAGGACTAATATTTAAACTACCAATAACAATTGCAGGTGAGAATGCACCTTTATATATAAACAGCGGTCAACAGCAACTTGTTTCTTGAAAGAATCAATAACTGATAAAATGTCCATGGGAGATACACTTGTTTCTTGCAGCTCCGCCATCTACCAAAATAAAGACAAATTAACCTACTTGACACTACAAAATGTACTCCCTCCAAACCAAACTGAGTGTCTTCTTAAAAACAAAAATAATAATAAAAAAATATAATAAGCTCAAATTTCAATAAAAGGTGTTAATGCATTGGCTTTCCGAAATTACCTTTAAAAAAGGTCAAATTCTAAAGGAAATAATTCATTTATTCCAAATTGAGGGGTTGTATGGAGAGGTGAAAAATAAATTATTCTTTTGACTTTTCAATAATTGGTCACATTTTGGGACAGACAAACTAGAAAGCAAGACAAATTAAATAGGGAAAAAAGAGAGTATGCAATTCATTAAATAAAGCAAGTAAAAGTTGAAAGAAGATAAATGGAAATTGATGAAGTCCCAGTGGTGTTATAATTAATGCAAAATATGAGAGGAACAATTATTTACCCAGAAAGAAAAAAAATGTAGCAAACAGAAAATTAATTTGAATTTTATTTTTAGACAAGCAGAGGGAAGAAAAATATTAGGAGTGGAAATCTTAAATAAAGAACTTGACGAGCATAAGTAAAGGACAAAGGAAAAGTCCAGACCCAAAAGATAGTTGTATCCACATACTTGAGCTTAAAACTTAGAACATGTATTTGACACTTTCTAAACACCAGCTTTAAACATAGCACTTACAAATAAGTGAATTGAACTTAAAAAGTGAAAAAAGTTTCACTTTATGGAAGAAAGTTTTCAACTGGTTAATGCCTTCTAGTACTTCCACTGATTTCTGTTGCTTTAAATTTCCAGTCTTGTACAAGTGAATCGGCGGTGGGCACAATAAAGGACAACCACTCGTGTCTTTCCCAGTATGTGTTCGTCTATTTTTGAAACATTCTCCCCGATTCTCTCTTACACAAAATCCTAGCTGAGTTGGGGATGGTTCAAATAATATACCAAATTCATCGCCATTGCACTAATATCCCCTCTATTTTATCCTCACAACCGAATAAAAGCTAACCCAATATCAGCTATTTCAAATAAATTCGGTCTGCCCAGACCCCCAACCCCCTCGCTCACCCAATTTCAGCATTAATCATTGAACCCAACACCTAAACTTATCTCTTTGACGTACAATGCAGCAGAAAATTAGACTCGAAAAGGTTTCATATTTGATTAGATCAACGAGTCACCAAACAGTCAATTGCACAAAAAAAATAAATAATTCTTCATTTGCCTGTGTATATATATAAACATACCTATAAATTATAAATACAAATCAACAACAATGAAGCTATGAATGTAGCTGGAAACACGACGATTCGAGTGAATTGGAAGCGTAAGGTTATGCATTGACAAAATAAAACGAGGTACCGTGGGGTCGTTGGGAGGTTCTGATCTGCAAGCGGAGGCGGAAACAGAAGGCGACGCCTTAGGCGACGACATTGTCGGTGATTGTAAAGCTGTGTCGATTTCGAATCAGCAATGGAGTCTCGGTGAAAGATCGGACACATGCGAAGGCAATGCAATAGATAGATGCACTGATACAGTAGGGTTTGTGGAGTTGGGAATTTGGCGGGTCCGAATTGAAACCCTAGATTGGGAGGGCCATAAAAGGACACTTTCTGTTCTCGGCGGTTCAGATGAGGATTTATTTAATTCCTTTTTTGGTTGGGTCATTGGTGTGAGAAGTAAATAAAAATTGGGGGGAAAGTGAGTACGTGGCCTTTGCTTTTGAAATATTGTACACGCTCCTGGTTTGGACGGTAGGCCAGCTAATTTCTATCAAAAACAGCCAATGTTAATTCTCTCAATTCATAACTTAATTAGGTTCGTTTCTTGCCAATCAAAAATTAGACCCATATTATAAAAAGTGAGTTTGAAAGTAATTGTGTGTTATACATGTGAAACAGATACGGGATATGTTCAATAGTGTGTTCTTTTAAAAAAATCTCATGGGATGTCTTTTTATTTTTTTGTTAATGAGTTTACAATACAAATAAGAATTTGCTTAATTGAAAAGAATGTTCTATTTTTGTTCAGTGAAACTAAAGCATACATTCGACATTGAGAAGTTGGATGAGGTTTTGAGTGATCAAGCTCCGGATTCGAAGTTTCTAATAATAAATTAGAAATTTCATCAACTTCAGACAATGAATATCTTAGAATTATAGGAATTTTAACACGGAAACGCGTTTAATTTGGTAACATATCCAAATTATACGCTTATTATGTAATTAATATGAAATAGGAAATTAATTTATGAGTCTTTTATTTTTTTCGACCACAATGAATATCAAAGTTCATAGAAGGTATTACTTTATGAATGTAAAAAATGTTAAATTTTACTTGTTTCTTAACGGTTATCAAAATTTTGAACAACTCAAAAAACCTTATATGGTATAATGTGAATTGAAGTGCAATGGGAGGACCTAAATTTGATGCCAATGAAACTGCTGGTACACCGGGGCTAGGGGGAGTTAACTCCTTAAAGCGTCTCCAACACTCTCTCAATACTCAAAATATAAGAGATTTATTTTCCGATACACTCTAATGGTGTGTTATACAACCTCAAAATATAAAATTCTCAAAACTTTTTTCATACATGGCAGAAGGTTAAAGTGTTAGCACAATTGGAACAGAATTGTTAAAATATATCATTTTGGATGAAATGTACTACTGGAGCAAAATTGTAAAAATATAATATTTTGGCACTATAGATCCTTCTTTACAATGAAGAAATAACATTTTGCATTAGAGATGCTTTTAATTTGTTCAAATCAGCCGAGTCCCACCCCTACTGTTTATTTCGTACCATCGAAACAATATAAAAAGGTTATTAATATTATTTAATTTCTCATTTGTCTAAACTTAAACTTGCAAAATAAAAAATACTATTCTAGCACCCACTAATTCGCTTTAGATAGATGATGATACCTAAGAGTGCCACTTGAGCAGGCTAACTTAGTCTAAAAAATTTGAAGTTCGGACTTTTAAGTTCGTTGGTATGTTAGTATAAGCTTAGAACTATTATTTTCTTTGATAAAATTGAGTGTTCGAGTTTTCATTTTTCTGAAAAATAAAAAAATAAAAATCTCCAACTCTGATTTTGGGATAAAGGTCCGAGACTACAGTAGGCAAGGAGTGTAAAGAGGCTGGGCTCTGATATATTGAGCACCAGTCTCTCTATAGCTAGTCAGGCTCTGGGCTTGCGCATATTTGTTATATATAAGAATGTAGTCCAACCCAAGTACACGAGAGTATATTTTGGTTAAAAATGGGGCGCGTTTGTTTCGAAGTAAATTATTTTTGAAAAAATGTTTTCCGGTGTACAGAGGTACTCGACCATCCCGATTCCCGACCGACTAGCCACCGCCAAAAAAATCTCAATCAGATTCAAACGCGACAGAGTATGTTCTCAGAGATTTTTTTACAGGTTCGAACACAATTATCTCTCACATCTGTTTGTGTTTTGTTAATCCATTTTTCACAGATTCAAACGAATACACCTGTTTCAATTGAGGCATTTTGATTGTAATTAGATCTTCACTGTCTTCTTCTAGTTGGAAGATGTTGTGGTTGTGCCGTAGAAAATTATTTCACGATAAAGATGTGAACCGTGAAATTAGGGTTGATAAGCCACGAAGAACAAATCTAATTGTTAGGATTGGGACTGCGTTGGAACTGGGATTTGGATCAGGGATTGGTTTGGAAAGTATGCTGAAAACGTCATTGCATCTAGGTTTGCATCTCCGTCGCCAATGTAAATATCATATATACACACACACACATATACATATATACGAACTCTCCGATTTCATTAAAATTCTCATTGTAAAGTATTTTATAAAGGAAATTAATTTTGGATTTGAAGCCAAACACGAGAAATAAAAATGTAGGAGAAAATAGTTTACAATAAAAATGTTTTATAGACAGCTTAAATCTCGAACAACAAATTACCAAAAAAGAAAAAAGTACACAACCCAAATTCACACAAGAACTAGACTCGATATCACAAAAAAAAATTCCACATTAATAATTAACAAAGCAAAGCACTTCGTAACACCTCAATGTATGTATATATATCACGTTGTGACAACCTCCATCAACTCTGTATCATCCTCCATGGCATGCAGCATCTCGGGGAGCAAGCAAACTTCAACATGAATTCTCCCTTCTTCTGTCCCCTAAAAAAATATTAGCTTCTCATCATGCTTGTTTGTCTCCCCACTTCGTACGGCCACCGGTTTTCCCCAATCAATGTCACTACTGTACACATTGAACCGAGGTGAACTGCTCGTGATCAAAGCATTGGTTGTAACGGCATCCCATGTTGGTAACCTAGGGTTTTCCACCCAACACTTCAAGTAGTCCCCCATTTCCAAAATACTCTTGTGGCAATGGTGGTGCAACCTCGGCCTAACACCAATCGCCAACGTAAATTTTGCCTCTTGGTCAGCAAGGACAATACTGCTTCTACAGCATACTATGGATTGCCATAGAATAGAAGAGCCATAAGTGCCTGAAGAGAGGAGATACAGGTTGTGTTCATTTCTGCATTAGCTTTTGATTTGAGTCCCACAATTTTTTCTCTGGTAAAATGAAAGACCCTTTCTTCAAGTTGTGGAAGAAAACTTATAAACCCATCGTTGAGTTGTTTGTCAGATAAAGGAATACAAATGGGACAATCAATATCATTAGGAATCCAATGCTTGAAAACGGGATGCCGCGATATCTTGTCAAAACCACGGGAAATTTCCAACCATGAATTGAAGAAATGCCAAAAAGATGAGCCATCAACAACTGCGTGATTGATGGAGCAACCAATAAAGAATCCATCAACAAGCTCAGTCACTTGCACTGCAAATAAGGGCTTGGAGACGCCTTCATCCTTTTGAACTCCATTTAAGGGAAAAAAGGAGCGCACAACGTGAGGCACATACACGGGCTCAAGGATGTTGGCCACGGCATAAATTAACTGTGCCCCAACATCATTGCAGTGTATGAAGCAGGAGGTGTTGTTATCAGCGTTTTTGATGATGGCGAGGCGGCCAGCGAGGGGAGGGAAGAAGTCTAGGCTGCGAGAGAGGGAGGCTTCGAGGTGATCAATGACAGTAGTAATGTTTGCTAGTATTTATTTTTCTTGTGAAGGTGATGGTTTGAGGAAGAGAAGTCCCTTCTGAATAGGGCCAAGTAAAAGTAGCCGGACATCCCATGGAGTGAACTCAATACGTATACTGTCAGTTGATTTACAGTGACCTGCCGGTTGGACAATAGTGGTGAAACAAATTTCTGCCATCTCACTAGCTTGATCTCTCTTACTATTATTGTTGATGCACAAGAGAAATATACACATGCAAACATATTTATTTACTATCACAAATTTTACATCGAAAACTAGCTAGCTTTTGGTAACGTCCATAAACTGTTTCTGCAAATTATCAATACGAGTGTTTGGCTTTTGTAGATATAAAATGGTACTTAAGTAGGAAAAAATGATCAGTTAGGCTGGTAGGTTTCAACTAATGGGTTGGTACATTGGTTGCTATAGTGGACAATGCTTATAATATTTGAACACTTTAATAGTGAAGAAATTTGAGCTCAATTGGTTTAGTAGGTTTCATTGGGGTCAAATTTTATTCTAACTTAATCTTCATTTAACTAGGCCTTTGCTTATACACTTGGTAAGTTAGCACCGTCACTTTATTGTGCTTCCTGCATTTTGCTAGAATATTGATCATTTGAAAGTTTGGAAGGGTAAAGGGGTTAGAGAAAAGGTACTTAATCACTCCCTTGCTACTACTATGTTCCTCTTGTCGAGTGAAAGAAACTCAAGCCTGTTTGCTTAAAAAACCTCCACTGCCTATATTCTGTGCAGAACATATGCTTTGCTATTAGAGCTGAGTTGAGCTCTCTAAAATTTAAAAAGAATGTTGAGTCCAGGGACATGCTTCAAGAGTGGAACATCTCTTCCTAGTCCTTTGCTTGGATATATACTATCTTGTAGTGAAGTTATGTTGTTGATTGTTGCTAGTTAGGTAGCCTTTTGCTTTATGTTTGTGCCTTGTTTGATGTTTGTTGCCCTTTGGTATCACCTTAAACTACTGAATAAGGAAAGTTTGGATTATATGATGTGTTTATTTATTTATGAGTTGTCATTTGGAGGCTGAAATCCGAATCTTCGAGAGGGGAAGTGAGAGGGCCAGAACAATTTTCCTATATATATTATTATTATTATTATTATTTTGAAAGTAAAGTCTGAAATAAAAGTAGTAACACGTGTCATATGGTGTGCAAATTATTCTAAATCTTCCTATTTGTGCGTATATATGTAGATGTAAGCACATATTAGTACTTTCTGGTGGTATTTTTGGTTGAACAATAGTGGCTTGTGGTTGTGGAATATTACATTTTCAAAAACTGTCTTAGATGAAGGTGGTTTAATTTCTATATATTTCTTAATGTTGATGTAGCATGTTATAAATTTTCATATTTACCTTGATTGAGTAATAACACGAGGGTGTGAAAACTGAGTTCCTTTTAGGTGTAGTTAATTAAAAAGGAAAAAGGAAGTATGACAGGAAGTTTTCCTTTAAACAGTATCATTTTGGGGCACTAGCTAGTGCTCTATATATCTAGTACTCACCATAATAAATAAACCGCCCCACTTTATTTCTTGATCATTCTTTAAAACGGATAGGTCCACGTATGACATACCAAGCCCATCCAAAAAAAAAAATCACCCGGTCCCACATAGATCACAATCCTATTATGGCTATGCCAATATCCAGCAATAGAAAACTCTATTGCTATCACCCAAACTTACAGGTTGAAATTCATCAGTTGAGTGATAGCATTTGTTCCCGCTTGAAGGTTTTAGATGTTAAGCTCAATCTTTGAAAGTGGTTAGAGTTGTATTTCAACACCAACTTTGACAATTCTTGAACTGTGATCCAACTCCCCATCACCCATTTTTTTACTTATTGTATGTTTTACTACCCTTGTTTGCATGTTTGTGCCTGAGTGTCGAAAGAACACTCCTAGGTTGATCATATTAAAAATCAGAGAAATGATTCTAAACCCGAAAGGGAACACCGAAAACACGAGCCAAAGATCATTTTTTTGGTGCTTCTCTTTAATTAGAATAGCACCTCTCTAAAAATTATAGCTGTCAAGTTCTTCTAGAGAAGGCCAGATGGGCACAAAAAAAATATTTCTAAAACATTTAAGTACTATTTAACCAAATTCACATTTTCTTTGTTGCTATTGTTATTATTATCTTTATTAATATAATTATATCACTAATTTACTGCTGATGGTACTACTGCTGTTGTTATCATTATTTTGTTATTTCTTTAAAATAAACAAAACAAGGTTGAATATTTTAATTTTCTTGGAAAGATGTTTGATTACAATCTTGAAATACAATTTTGTTGAGTACATCCCAAATTAATCCGGATTTTCTCTGTAATTCATTGTGTGGATCACAAAATTTTCACATCAAGTAGACCTTCATAAAAAGAACAAATTAATTGGTGTGCTCAAACCCCTTTTATTTTATATGTATAAATATATATATATATATATATATATATATATATATATATATATATTTGTTTCCTTTCATCATATAAGAAACTCATCAATATATCTCTGGGCGTAAAAAAATTGTGTTAAACACAAGCTTCTCTACAACGCCATTTCTTGCAAGCTCTGTCTCTGACTCTTTCCCACATTCATACTTTTGATCTCAAACCACTTCTCACTCTTAGCTGACTATTTTCCGTCAGTATGTAATACAACGATTCCTGAAAAAGAAACATGTTCTTATCCCTCCCCTATTTTTGCCAGCGGTCTTAAATTGGGGATTTTGGATTGTGTCATTTGGTAAATGATCCTTTTCTTTTATTCTTTTTATATCCCTGCGTTCTTCAAGTGTCTTATGGTTGAGGGCTTCGAAGTACTCTTTGACTCTTAGTAACAGAATGAAGAACACCATTTTGGTGTTGTGGGGGGGGTGTAATGACTAACCTCTTTTTGAACATGGCCTTTGGGCCTGGCCTGCTATATATTGGACTTGGATTATTTTTGTTTTTACACTCATTTGGGCCTCCATCCCAAATGGATTGGGTCTGCCACATGAATTATCTTTTTCCATTCTTTACTGTTATAGATACAACAGGAAAAACTTATCTAATAATCTTCGATTACTAATAAATTGTTCATTGGAGGAAATAGTACAGTTATAAACCAAGATAAGGCATTCCTAATTTGTCACATAGTTGCTCTGAAATAATAACCGATATTAAGGTAAATTCATAACAAAATAATACAGAATGTAAAGTTTTTATTTTTATTTTTATTTTTTTTCTTTTCTGAATTCTAATATGAATAAACATTATTGAATCAAGTTTGAGTGTTTTGATTTCAAATTAAATATTTATACTTTCAATATCTATTGCATACAATTTGCACATTTTTATATTTTTTTTTGTAACTTGTTATTTCCTAGTACTTAGTAGGTTATTAAAATTTTGAACAACCCTAAAAACCCATATGGTATGACGTGGATTGAGGTGCAATGAGTTCTTCAGGACTTGAGTTTGATGCGAGCTAAGGTATTAGTACATTGGGTTTGGCGTGGGCTGACCAGCCCGCTGGAGTCCTGCCCCTGGTCTTCATTTTCTTTCTTTCTATTTATATTATTGAGACAATATTATTTCCTTTCTCATTTGTCTACACACATTGCAAAATAAAAACCACACACAGTGAGCCACAAGTCTCGCTCTCCTGACTTCGGGATAAGGTGTCCGACTATATACCATATAGTTTAGTAGGCCACGAGTGTAAAGAAGCTAGGCTCTGATGTATTGTGCACCAGTACTATCTATAACTAGCCAGGCTTTGGCCTTGCACATATTTATGCTCTGTGATAAAATCAACAAGTCATTGAGTTCAACCCATTTGCAAGCCTAAACGTTTTGGGTCTACAGCTTCTTTATTTCTATTTTATAGATGGAAGCAGGACACACGGTTTAAAAAATAAGGGTCCATTTGTTTTGACATAAATTATTTTTGAAAAAATGTTTTCTGGTGTTTTGTGCAGGTACTCAACCATCCTGATTATCGATTTATTAGCATCGCCCAAAAAAATCTCATTCAGATTCAAACGTGACAAAGTATTCTCAAAGAGTTTTTTACAGGTGCGAACACAATTATCTCAATCTTGTGTGTGTGTGTCGTAGTCCATTTTTCATAGATTCAAACGAGTATACCTGCTTCAATTGAGGCATTTTGGTTGTAATTAGATCTTCATCGTCTTCTTCTAGTTGGATGATGTGGTTATGCCGTTGAAAAACAATGTCTTGGATGATAAAGATATGAACTGGGAAACTAGGGTTGCAATGCCATTAAGAACAACTGTAATTGTTGGGATTTGGATTGCATTGGAACTGGAATTTGGGTTAGGGATTAGTTTGGAAAGTAAGCTTAGAAACATCATTTGCATCTAGGTTTCCCATTTTGAGTTTTCCATTTCAATCGCTCCGTCGCCAATTTACAATATTATATATATGTATTTATATTTCGGAGAAATAGTATGAACTCTGTGTTTTTCATTTCAAATTCTCCCATATTTTGAAATAAAGTCGGGCCTTTTGATTGTAAAAGATTTATAAATGAAAATAGGGTAAACTGCATAAAACCCCCCCTAAACTATACTCTCTCTTCCTAGAAACCCCCCTAAACTTTTATTTTTACAATTAACCACCTGAACTATCTAAAATTTTGCAAAAATCACCCACTGATGAATTTCTGATTATTTTTGCGGCTAAACAGGCGTGTGGTATCACATGCCAGGTCTTTAAATTTATAATGACGAAGCTACCCTGAATACCATTATAAGCTATTAAATGTATAAAATCAAAATTCCCAAATTGATACAATTCCAGAAAAGGGAAAAAAAAAATAAAAATCAAATTGAAACCACCACCAAATTCAACCCCAAATCGTGTCTGTTGGAACCCAATATTCATTCTCTAGCAAATCGCCATATCTTTTATGTATCTTCACCATTTGATTCTGTGCAAGCCACTCAACAATCACAAACCAAACCCTAAGTTTCATTCACAAACCCTAATTTTTGTTCTATTGCTCAAATTTCTTCGATTTATGGCGAGAAATGAAAGTTTTGTTGAACACTGGTTGTCAGAGGAAGTTGGGTTTCTGCAAATTGAGAAGCCAATAGGATTTCGACAGTTTAATGTGAGAGACGAAACAACCTGATAGCGTTAGTGTGGAAGTAGGCCGAGACGTTGAACAACGAGACGAATATAAGATGAATCGGGGTATAGTGCGGCAAGGGATGGTGTTGAGGAGGAGGTGGTTGTTGTTCTCATTGCCGTTGATCCTCTGTGACCGTTATCGGAGGAACGCATTGAGGTACTAATTGGTCATCTCCTCCTCCCCCTCCTGCAGTGTATTTCTTCTCACACAAACACAATCACTGCTCACTGCCGTGTTTACTTGGCATCAACGGTGGAGTAATCGACGAACAAACCAATTAATGGCTTCACTCGCGCGGCATTGCCGCACTAGTCGTGTTTGGTAAATGAGATGGGGAGAGGTGTTGCGTGGTAGAATTAGGTTTTTTTTTTTTTTTTTTTTTTTTTTTTTTTTTTTTTTTTTTCAGAAGGTGAGAAATTAGAATTAGGTTCAGTTGGTGATAAGGTGATGTGTTGTCCAATCCTTATTGGCCTTTAAGTTTTTTTTTTTTACACCTCAGCAACAGAAGTTAATAAAGAATCCAAACAGGCCCTTCAACTAAAGTGTAAATTAGTAACTTTCTTTTTCCGGTGCCGGAGACCCAACTGTTGTCCTTAAATGCAACTTTATCATAGTTCAAGGGGGCATTTGTTAATTCAGGGGGGTTTTGTGCAATTGGCTGAAAGCTCAGGGGGGTTTTATGCACTTTACCCATGAAAATATTTTTAGATTTGAAGCCAAACACCAAAAAATAGAAAGGCAAAATTCATTAAAAGAGAAAAATATTTTACAATATAAATGTTTTATAAATGGAGCCTAAATCATGAACAACAAATTACCTCCCCCAAAATGGGTACACAACCCAAATCCACCTTGGATTATCTCTGTGATTCATTTTATGGATCACAAATTTCTCACACCAATTAAGTAGACCTTATATAAGAACAAAGTAATTGGTGTGCTCCAATCCCCTTTTCCTTACATATATATAAGAACTAAACTCATTCGATATCACAAAAAAAATCTACATTAATAATTAACAAAGCTAAGCACTTCATAATATATATGTTTTTATATATATATATATATATATATATATATATATATATATATATATATATATCACACGGTGACAACCTCCATCAGCTCTGCATCATCCTCCATGGTATGCAATGTCTCGGGCAACAAGCAAATTTCAACATCAATGCTCCCTTCTTCTGCCCCCTGAAAAAATGTTAGCTTACCATCAGGCTTGTTAGCCTCACCACTTCGTACCGCCACTGGTTTTCCCCAACCAAAGTCATTACTGTACACGTTGAACCGAGGGGAACTGCTCGTGATCAAAGCGTTGGTTGTCACGGAACCGCATGTCTGCAGCCTAGGGTTTTTTATCCAACACTTCAAGAAATTCCTTATTTCATCACCTGTTTGCGAGGCAATTAACTTGTTCATTTGCCAAGCAGCCCAACCTTGTCCTTGCTTGAGTAGCTCACTGGCTTTGGTGGTCATGGTCTCAAAGTACACCCCGTTTCTAAAATACTCTTGTGGCAGTGCTGGGTGCAACCTCGGCCTAACGCCAATCGCCAACCTAAAATTTGTCTCTTGATCAGCATGAGCAACTGTACTTCTACAACGTATTATTGATCGCCATAGAAGAGCCATAAGTGCCTGAAGAGAGGAGATATGAGTTGTGTACTTCATTTCGGCATTAGCTTTTTCTTTGAGTCCTGCAATTTTTTCTTTGGTAAAATGAAATACCCTTTCTTGAAGTTGTGGAAGAATACTATAGAACCCATTGAGTTGTTTGTCAAACAAAGGAACACGAATGGGACAATCAATATCATTGGGAAACGAACGTTCAAGAAAAGGAGGCCGCGTTATCTTGTCAAAACCACGGGAAATTTCCGACCATGAATTGAAGAAATGCCAAAAAGATGAGCCATCAGCGACTGTGTGATTGACGGTGCAACCGATAAAGAATCCATCGGCGAGTTCAGTCACTTGCACTGCAAGTATGGGCTTGGAGACACCTTCGTGGTTTTGAGCTCCATTTAAGGGAAAAAAGGAGCGCACAAAGCGAGGCACGTACACAGGCTGAAGGATGTTGGCCACTGTAATACTAGGAGCCACGGCATAAATGAACCGTGCTCCGACATCATTGCAGTTTATGAAGAAGGAGGTGGTGTTATCCGCATTTTTTATGATGGTGAGGCGGCCAGCGAGGGGAGGGAAGAAGTGTAGAGTGCGAGAGAGGGAGGTTTTGAGGTGATCAATGAGTAGTAGTAGTACTAGTGTTTGCTAGTAATTCTTTTTGTTGTGAAGGTGATGGTTTGAGGAGGAGAAGTCCCTTCTGAATGGGGCCAAGTAAAAGTAGCCGGACATCCCATGGAGTTAACTCAATACGTAAACTAGCAGTTGATGATTTACGGTGACCTGCGGCCGGTTGGACCATAGTGGTGAAGCAAATTTCTGCCATATCACTAGCTCAATCTCTCACTATTATTGTTGATGCATAAGAGAAATGTACAAATGTTAACATATTCATTTAATATCACAAACTTAACATAGAGTACTAGCTAGCTCTTGGTAACGTTGATTAATAAAAATTCGAGCCAGGCTGGTGGGTTTCAATTATTGGGTTGGTACATTGGTTTCTATAATGGACAATGCTAATAATGTTTTAACATTTTAAATAGTGAAGGAATATGAAATCAATTAGTTTGGTGGGTGTCGGTGGGTCAAAATTTATCCTAATTTAATTTCCATTTAACTAGGCCTTCGCTTATGGACTTGGTCAAGCATATTTTGGTAGAATATTGATCATTTGAAAGTTTGGAAGGGTAAAGGGGTTATAAATAGGCTCTCCCTTTCTAGCACAATGTAACTTGTCGAGAGAAAGAAACTCAAGATTATTTGCTCTAACCTATTTCTTTGCCTGTTGCTTTCTGTTTTGATGCTTCTTGTTCCTTTCTAATAAACTATTAAGATACCCAAAGAAGAAGAAAGTTTGGTTGGTCACCTTAAACTTATAAGGAAAGTTTTTTTGAAAGTGAAGTTTGAAAGAGAAGTAGTGATGCATGTCATCTGGTGTGTGGACAGTGACAGTGAACTGCACACAGAACTACAAACTGTCTTTAGATTTATTTTTTTATCCCGACAATAACCCCTTATGCACCCACATGTCCGTGTGAGCTCTCGATCGTACCCTTTGGATTTGGCAAGGACTGAGGAGGTATAACTGAGCTAAATATTGTTCAATTGCTATGCATTTCTTTATTTGATGTTGATGTAGCACGTTGTAAAAATTAAATTCTTAATTAAAAAAGAAAGTATGACAGGAAAGCTAGTTCGTGCCTGGCTTTATCAAGATTGCCCACTTTATTTCTTGATCATTTTTTAATGCTGATAAGTTGGACATACCAAGCCCATTTAAAAACCAATCATCCAGCTATAACTTGGCCCCGCATGGATCACATTCCCATTGTGGCTATGACAATGCTCACAATGTCTATCAATAGAAACTCAAATGTCGGTGAGACTTTGGTTTTATTTATTTTATTTCTTTCAAAATTATATATATATATATATATATATATATATATATATATATAAATATTGCAATGATTTGGTTTATGTCAAGATCTTCCAGCGAAGCCCAGATCGGTGTACTATTTTAGTCAAATTCACTTTCTTCTTCTTCTATTTATTTATTTATTTATTATCTTCATCATAACGATATCACTAATTTCTTGTGCTGCTGGTACTCCTCCTATCATTATTTTGTTAATTCTTTAAAATAAACAAAATAATGTCGAATTTTTTAATTTTCTTGGAAAGATGTTTGATTAAAATTTTGAACTACAATTTCGTTGAGCACATCCCAATTCTATCCGGATTTTCTCTCGATTCATTGTGTGGATCACGAAATTCTCACATCTAGTACCTTCTTCATGTTAGAAAAAATTAATTGTTGTGCTCAAACTCCTTTATCAAATAACAGACTAAAATTGATTGTTTGTACTTCCATTTTTGTTTCCCATGTAACAAGTAAGAAACAGACCTGCACCCAATCTGAGATTTGGACCTCCCCCTTTGAGGGTGCCAGGAGATATTTGGATCTGTGATGTTGTGGCTAGAATTCAGTGTCGGGTCGCAATTGTGTGGGTCCAAGCCCACCAAAATTTTGACCCCGTTTTTTGTTTGTGGGCCGTGAACCCTAATTAGTACTTTCTTGTAACCTAATATATAAGGACGTTCAAGATTTGGAGTGCAAAATCAAAGAGACTGAAAATTGTAGAGAAAGAGAGTGTGGCTGAAATTTGTAATCTCATATTATTTGCATAATGAAAACTTTCGTAGGATCTTCACTGCGAATGTAGACTTTGTCAAACCGCTAAATCTTTGTGTTCTTTGTACGTTGTTTATTTTCTGTCGTAATTCTTGGTTTTATCTTAGATTTGCTGTATATGTCGTAACAGGACCAATAAGTGAAAATTCTGGCTAAGTTTGGACAAATAAGTAAGAACAATTGAAAATATCTAGAGTCAGGTGTATATTTAGCAATTTAAACAAAGATGGTCTCCGAGGAAAAGATGTTTAATCCATCAACCGTAAATAAAAAAGTCATGAAACAAGCTTAGACCCAAAAAGAGTTGATTAACAACCAGATTGACGTGCATAATCAAAGATTCAAAGCACCGACTTTTAGGATAAATGGACAAACCTGGCAAGCAGTGACGGTTCTACGCCCCTCACAATGTTTGGCCATTCATTCTATTCACAGCATCAAAAGCACCTCCTCCGTCACTCTGCATAATTTCAATACCATGTACAGTAGAAGTTTACTGCCAAAAAATTGAAATTGGGCATCAAGTCCCCTGTAACAGGTGCCAACCATATCAACAAGTGAAGCTGAATGGTCTTTGCTAGCTTCAACTTGGACTGGCATTGTTGGGAAGTAATTCTGGAAGAAGAGTGAAGCCTTTTATTGAATTGACTCCTTCCTTTTCGGGCAAGAGCCTTGTACCAACCCAGAATCTCCTGCTGAAACAGATTAGATTGAAAAGATTGCTATTTGACAAAGCAAGTAAAAATCAAATTCACCAAAAAAAAAAAATTCACATTTTTATAGCACTTACAATTAGGGGTGCACGTTCGGTTCGGTACCGAAACCGGTTACAATGGTTCCTTAAAAATGGAACCGGAACTGGATACGGAATATGGAACCGAATCGTAATTGAACCATGAATATTAGTTCGGTTCGGTTCCTTAACTATATACTTTTTTCCTGTGGTTCTGTTACTTATTTGAAGTCTTTGAGCCCATAGCTAAAACAATTAAACAAAATATATTTTAAAAAAATTATCCTTTACCTGATGCACTGATATATATCTAATTTGCAGAGACATCTATACACACACACACACACAAATTTCACTGGAACAAAAGTTGCCAACCAAAGGAAGGTTCAACATACAAACAGTCAAATTGTAGAAGTTTTAATTAAGCATCCAAATGGAAGGCTCAACAACATAGTCAAGTAGAAGTTTTAAAGCAGTAGTCATTACCAAGGACCACGTGTTACTGGTGTATGACAACAGGGTAATTAATAATATATTATCTCAGTTCAAAATGAGTGTCAGATTTTTTTTTTTTTTTTTGTGTGTGTTTTAAAATAAGTGTCTCCTTAAAAATTACTACTCCTCATAAGCGACACTCAAATTAGGACGGAGGGAATATATAATTAAATATATAATCGTGTATATATATATATATACACATACGGTTTCTAACTATTTTTACGAGTCTGGAATTAGAACCGAATCGTAAGCTCATTGTTCTAGATTTTTAGAATCGGGACAGGAATCGAAACCTGAGAAGCAGAGCCAAAGCTCCCGTTCTGTTTGGTTCAGTTCGATTCTTCTTCTTCTTTTTTTTTTTTTTTTTTTTCTCCACCATATACTTCCACCGGTAAGCAATTCCTTCATTAGCTTCCTTTGAAGCATCAGAAGTGAAAACCAGTAATTGGTGGTTTTCTTGTACCATACCACCGGTAAGCAATTCCTTCATTAGCTTCCTTTGAAGCATCAGAAGTGAAAACCAGTAATTGGTGGTTTTCTTGTACCATATCAGTCAGAGTGGGCCAATATATTATATATATATATTGTCTCCTCTCATCATATAAGTAACTCATCAATGTATCACTGGGCTAAAAAATTTTCACATTTTCACACAAAAAACATTGTCAAGCTTCAAATCTTGTTTCCTATCAGTAAAATTTTTGCTCTTCCATCTTTTTGTAGAATCCAATTGTCAAAAGACACGATTATGAAAAAAAAAAAAAAAAACCACATATATCGTGCACTATGCATATACGATTCAACATATTATATGAGCAATACTAAGCATTTGAATTTTTTGTTAAAAAATATATTAAGTATTTGCACATTTTTATTTTTATTTTTTTGTAGCCAGTCTTTGCTCAACCATGAGATTGTGTTTGACACTTTCATTTCAAGTCTCAAAATGATGTGATATTGTGAAAATTAAGAGCTTACTTGTTTTGTCATTCCAAAAAAATAGTTTTTAAGCTTCATCGCCATTTCTCGCACTCTCTCTCTCTCCTCATTCATACTTTTGAACTCAAACTACTTCTCACTCTTAGCCGACCTATTTTCCTTCGGTATGTAAACACTCCCCCGTCCCAATATATATGTCCAGCACGAGGAATCTAACTTTTTATGGTAGTGGAGTTTTAATAGTTTTTTATTGTATTGATAAGAGTGAAGTTTCAAATATGTTTACTAAAAGACAAAATAGTGCTTCGTAATTAGTGCAGTTGTTTAGTTAAAAGTATAGTTTGAGAATATTATAGAAAATAATACATTCAATTTTGGACTGGGACATGTTTTTTGGGACATTCCAAAATAGAAAGATGAACAACTATTTTGGAACGGAGGGAGTACAATGAAAAAGAAACATGTTTTTATCCCTCCCTTATTTCTGACAACGTTTTTAAATTGGGGATTTTAATCTGTCATTTGTAAATTTTTATTCTTTTTATATCCCTGAGTTCTTCAGGTGTCCCATGGTTGAGAGCTTCGAAGCACTCTGACTCTTAGTAACAGAATGAAGAACACCATTCAGGAAAGAAAAAAAAAAACACAGAGTTACAGCAGTTGTAACGACCTTAGCCTCTTTTTGAACATGGCCTTTGGGCCTGGCCTGCTATATATTGGACTTGGATTGTTTATGTTTTTTCACTCGTTTGGGCCTCCATCCCAAATGAACAGGTCTGCCACATAAATTCATAACAAAATAATACAGAATGTAAAGTTTTTATTTTTTTTTCTTTTCTGAATTGTAATATGAATAAACATTATTGAATCAAGTTTGAGTGTTTTGATTTCAAATTAAATATTTATACTTTCAACATCTAATGCATATAATTTGCACATTTTCTTTTTTGTAACTCGTTATTTCCTAGTAGCCAGTAGATTATTAAAATTTTGAACAACCCTAAAAACTCATATGGTATGGCGTGGATTGAGGTGCAATGAGTTCTTCAAAACTAGAGTTTGATGTGAGCTAAGGTATTAGTATGTCGGGTTTGGCGTGGACTGAGCCTTGGTCTGACCAACCCGCTGGAGTCCCACCCCTGGTCTTCATTTTCTTTCTTTCTATTTATATTATTTCATTTCTCATTTGTCTACACACACATTGCAAAATAAAAACCACACACAGTGAGCCACAAGTCTCGCTCTCCTGACTTCGCCATAAGGTGTCCGACTATATACCATATAGTTTATTAGGCCATGAGTGTAAAGAGGCTGGGCTCTGATGTATTTTGCACCAGTACTATCTACAACTAGCCAGGCTTTGGCCTTGCAGATATTTATGCTCTGTGATAAAATCAACAAGTCATTGAGTTCAACCCATTTCCAAGCCTAAACATTAGGGTCTACAGATTCTTTATTTTTATTTTATTTTATTTTATAGATGAAGCAGGACACGCGGTTTAAGGGTCCATTTGTTTTGATGTAAATTATTTTTGAAGAAGTGTTTTCTGGTGTTTTGTCCAGGTATTCAACCATCCCTATTATCGACTTATTAGCATCGCCCAAAAAATCTCCGTCAGATTTAAACGTGACAAAGTATTGTCAAAGATTTTCTTACAGGTGCGAACACAATACATTTTTCGTAGATTCAAACGAATATACCTGCTTCAATTGAGGCATTTTGATTGTACTTAGATCTTCATCGTCTTCTTCTAGTTGGATGATGTGGTTATGCCGTTCAAAAACAATGTCATGGATGATAAAGAATGATCTGGGAAACTAGGGTTGCAATGCCATTAAGAACAACTGTAATTGTTGGGATTTGGATTGCGTTGGAACCGGAATTTTGGTCAGGGATTAGTTTGGAAAGTAAGCTTCGAAACATCATTTGCATCTAGGTTTCCCATTTTGAGTTTTCCATTTTGATAGCTCCTTGCCAATTTACAATATTATATATATTTATATTTATATTTATATATTGGAGTAATAGTACGAACCTAAGTCACACAATCCTTTTCAACAAGTGTCACTCTCACGCTCCTCGTGCGCTCTTGCTCAAATTCTTACTATTTATGATATAATTTTGCCGCTCTCGCTTCCACTTTATGTGATTTAGGTACGTGTTTTTCATTTTAAATTCTCCCATATTTTGAAATAAAGTCGGGCCTTTTGATAGATTCGGGTACGAGTGTCGGATATGGGTGTATGTATAGGAGACGGATCTCTCTATCTATCAAATTGGGGACACGGGAACACGAATAAAAAGAGTCCAAAATCATACACGAATACTTGGACACAACAAAAATAAAAAAAAGGATAAAACTTACCTTAGTGTCACGGGCCTAGAGATTTGGCGCAGCGGCACGGCCCGTGCGGCACCAAGGCGTTGCTTCAGCTCGCGCAAGCGCCCTGGTCAGCCACCACGACCTGCCCTCCCAAGGATACATGCTGACTGGTTTCGGCCTGCCATGGCCTTGTCAGGGGAACGGCTCCAGCTCCCGACCAGTTTGTGCAGGGATGGCAAACTCCCTTCTTCATAGTCAAGTCCAAGACTAGCGACAAGCACCTCGAACTGAACCGAGTCGACCTGCCTGAACTCTGAAGAGGTACCATCATGTGGTCCTGCACGCCCCTTCCCTGGAACCATTCCCAGTCAATGAATGTTCTTAGCCAACCAGCATGCGTATCTTCAATGCTCATGGCGTCGTTAGGAATCGGATCGTGACATTCTCCCCCACCCAAATCCTGCGACGCCCTCGTCGCAGTGCGGCGCTGACTCCGCTGCGTCCAACATTCCAAAGCCTGTCTCCTCCAAGTGGTATGCTCGCCTGCCCACCATCGCTTCCTTGTACAACCCCTGGCTGCACTCGCCCAATGATAGGGTTTCGGGCTAAAGGGACGCCCACTTCTTCGGGACGCAACCCCACGTTATGCCGCCTCCGCGACACCCCGAGCAAACAAGCGCCCTCCGGCTGACTTGATACCCACCCTTCACAACGGTTTGCACGCCTCTTGAACTTGCAAGAACTTTGGTGCGCGCGGCCCTCCGGCCATCCGATGCGCGCGGCCCTCCGGCTTAAAGGACGCATCGTCATGGGGAGATGGAGGCTCTCCTCTAACAGCATTGATTGCCCACCGACGCTTTAGTGCACCGTCTTCATTCTCAAGACCCCCGGATCGACAAGGGGGCACACCTTTGTGCTTTTCCCCAAGTCCTGCTCTGATACCATTTGTCACGGGCCTAGAGATTTGGCGCAGCGGCACGGCCCGTGCGGCACCAAGGCGTTGCTTCAGCTCGCGCAAGCGCCCTGATCAGCCACCACGACCTGCCCTCCCAAGGATACATGCTGACTGGTTTCGGCCTGCCATGGCCTCGTCAGGGGAACGGCTCCAGCTCCCGACCAGTTTGTGCAGGGATGGCCAACTCCCTTCTTCATAGTCAAGTCCAAGACTAGCGACAAGCACCTCGAACTGAACCGAGTCGACCTGCCTGAACTCTGAAGAGGTACCATCCTGTGGTCCTGCACGCCCCTTCCCTGGAACCATTCCCAGTCAATGAATGTTCTTAGCCAACCAGCATGCGTATCTTCAATGCTCATGGCGTCGTTAGGAATCGGATCGTGACATTAGGCTGCATAAGCAGGAATTATCTGCTGACTGACGGTGATATGGACCAGGCAACGTGTGAAGTATGGTAAGGAGAAAAGTTGCCCAAGAAGACAGGATTTTTTCCTTTTCTCACACATCTCCAAGTCATGCCCTTCCCGCTTTCCCACCAAAACCTTATTGATATGGAAAGAAATCAAATCAAGAAATCTCCTCCAGTGCTTGCCGATCTCCACCACCACCTCTTCCGCCAGCCGACCTCCCACCACCTCCATTGCTTGCCAAAATCCTAACGTTTTTGCCGATCTCAGGCCGCATAAGTAGGGAATTCCTCCACTGCCTGTTGATCTCCACTTCTTTAGTTAGGATTGATTCTTGAAGCAGGTATATTCAACTATTATATTGGCACATTCATGATTTTATTTTTCTACTCCTTTTGCTAAAAAAATAAACGATGGCGCTGAGAGAGAGTAGACATTATTGATGGAGTACCTTAGATATATATATATATATATATATTTTGGGGTAAGAAGTAACTTATATTGATACAGTATGTTGATGGAGTACCCTTATATTGCAATATGACTGCACAAATTTAACCATGAGTTTATTGGTAAATTAATTCATGTTTAATAAAGTTAGTGTGATTTTTGCAATGAAGGATTTATACACGGAAACAAGGGGGAGGAGGGTGGGGGGCTTCACTTAAACAACCCATTATTGGAGGGAAAGCAGGAAGGAAAGGAAAAAATCCTTTGTTCTTGGACAACTTTTCTCCTTACTATATTTTACACGTGGCCTGTTCTTATTGGTCCATATCAGCAGATGCCGCCAGGCGAGCTTTGTCCTACAAATAATTATCACTCACAAATATAGGGCATGGCACACGTATACAGGCATACAAGAGAGAACATCGTGTTTTAGTACCGGTAAGTGGGTGAGTGGTAAAGAGAAAAATGGTACAACTGCTAAGGGGTAAGTGGTAACTTTTGCAAGTAAATAGTAAATACTAAATATATAGTAATGGTGCGATATATATATACACACACCACGGAGTATTTAAATTCATATACTGCGGTAACCCACAAGTTTCACTTTTAATTGAAAATAATAATAAACAAATAAAAAAGCTCACTGCTGAACACGTGCTATAGTAACCGACGTAGTAATAATAGTAAAGAAGGCTGTAACACACGGACGGTTTAAATAGTAACGAGGTGTCAGGCCAAAAGAATTAAAAATTATAAAAACTTTGGCGTAAAATACACGCTCCATCAGCACACAAACATGGAGGCAAACAGCGCGTGATAGGAGTCATCGCCCCCTTTTCGACAAACCAGTGAATCGCCATTTTTGAACCAGATGTAAAGTCTGTCGTCAGCCGTGTCCGGCAGGAAAGTTGGAGGTCCAACACATATCCCGTTTCCGTGCTGCGTCGTGTTGACACGGACACTCCCTCCGATTCCAACGAGTCCAAATGACACAGGCTTTGGTTGTAAAAGATTTTTAGATTTGAACCCAAACACCGAAAAATAGATAGGCAAAATTCATTTAACGAGAATATTTTACAATAATTTTTTTTTATAAACGGAGCCTAAATCGTGAACACCAAATTACCTCCCCAAAAAAGGGTACACAATCCAAATCCACCTTGGATAATCTCTGTGATTCGTTGTATGGATCACAAAATTCTCACACCAATTAAGTAGACCTTATATAAGAAGAAAGTAATTGGTGCGCTCCAATCCCCTTTTCCTTACATACAAGAACTAAACTCATTCGATATCACAAAAAAATTCCATATTAATAATTAACAAAGCTAAGCAATTCATAATATATATGTTTATATATATAAAAATATATCACACGGTGATAACCTCCATAAACTCTGCATCATCCTCCATGGCATGCAATGTCTCGGGCAACAAGCAAATTTCAACATCAATGCTCCCTTCTTCTGGCCCCTGAAAAAATGTTAGCTTACCATCACACTTGTTAGCCTCACCACTTCGTACCGCCACCGGTTTTCCCCAACCAAAGTCATTACCGTACATGTTGAACCGAGGGGAACTGCTCGTGATCAAAGCGTTGGTTGTCACGGAACCCCATGTCGGCAGCCTAGGGTTTTTTACCCAACACTTCAAGAAGTTCCTTATTTCATCACCTGTTTGCGAGGCAATTAACTTGTTCATTTGCCAAGCAGCCCAACCTTGTCCTTGCTCGAGTAGCTCACTGGCTTTGGTGGTCACGGTCTCAAAGTACACCCCGTTTCCAAAATACTCTTGTGGCAGTGGTGGGTGCAACCTCGGCCTAACACCAATCGCCACCCTAAAATTTGTCTCTTCATCAGCATGGACAACGGTACTTGTACAACGTATTATTGATCGCCATAGAAAAGCCATAAGTGCCTGAAGAGAGGAGATCCGGGTTGTGTACTTCATTTCGGCATTAGCTTTTTCCTTGAGTCCTGTAATTTTTTCTTTGGTAAAATGAAATACCCTTTCTTGAAGTTTTGGAAGAATACTATAGAACCCTTCATTGAGTTGTTTGTCAAACAAAGGAACACGAATGGGACAATCAATATCATTGGGAAACCAACGTTCAAGAAAAGGAGGCCGTGTTATTTTGTCAAAACCACCGGAAATTTCCGACCATGAATTGAAGAAATGCCAAAAAGATGAGCCATCCGCGACTGCGTGATTCACGGTGGAACCGATAAAGAATCCATCGGCGAGTTCAGTCACTTGCACTGCAAGTAAGGGTTTGGAGACGCCTTCGTGGTTTTGAACTCCATTTAAGGGGAAAAAGGAGTGCACAAAGCGAGGCACGTACACAGGCTCAAGGATGTTGGCCACTGCAATACTTGGAGCCACGGCATAAATGAACTGTGCTCCGACATCATTACAGTTTATGAAGAAGGAGGTGGTGTTATCGGCTTTTTCGATGATGCCGAGGCGGCCAGCAAGGGGAGGGAAGAAGTCTAGAGTGCGAGAGAGGGAGGTTTTGAGGTGATCGATGAGAGTAGTAGTACTAGTGTTTGCTACTAATTCTTTTTCTTGTGGAAGTGATGGTTTGAGGAAGAGAAGTCCCTTCTGAATAGGGCCAACTAAAAGTAGCCGGACATCCCATGGAGTTAACTCAATACGTAAACTATCGGTTGAAGATTTACAGTGACGTCCCGCCGGTTGGACCATAGTGGTGAAGCAAATTTCTGCCATATCACTACCTCGATCTCTCTCACTATTATTGTTGATGTATAAGAGAAATACTATACACTTGCATGACTTATAGTGATCTGCTGTTGGTAACGTTCATTCTCCTCCATTCAACTAGCCGGGCCCACTTTATTCCTCACACATAAGTCTGACATACCAAACCCGCAAAACCTCTTTAAGAATCCATCGTCCAGCTATAACTTGGCCCCGCGTATATCACAATCCCATTGTGGCTATGACAATAGTCACAAGGAAAATGATAGGGATGGACCGGATGGTAATTTTCTAATAGATGTGATTTTGTCACTTAAATCTCTTTAACTATCTTATTTGTATTAATATCTTAAGTGTATAAAACATATTCTCTTTTTTAATCCGCATGATAAAATTTAAGGGTAAAAAATGTTGGTTGAATGTCGTGGAAAAAGAATGTTGGGTTTTCTGTTCTTGCCATCAACATCAACATCAACATCAACGTAGGTAGTTTTTTTTATTTTTTTTATTTTTTTTTATTTTTTTATTTTGGGTACTCACACACACATGTTTTCACTAAAGCTTGAACCCCTGACATTCCTTTGAAAAATAAAGACCTGATACCACTAAGCCATTGGCCCGTTGGTCACCATCATTGTAAGTTTACACATGTATATACATATTTTTATATATGGACATTCTCCGTCTCCATGATTTTACTGGGGCTAATTTCGAAACCCTAATTTGATCCACTTTTACTCAGTTTAAGTTCAAGATTTATTACTTCGATTTGAATATTATACAGAGTTTAATTTTGAATTAGTATGGTCCAATTTGACTCTAAAACTTTATTGTGAATAATCTTATCACAGAGCGAGAGAAAGAGAGGTCGAGTAAATTTTCAAGGAGAGAAAATGAATAAAATTTAAGTAAATTTTTATAGAGAGAGAGTGATTTTCAAACCCAATTTTAGATAGAGAAAATAAAGAAATTTTAGGGAAGAGAAGGGAGAGAGAAAATGAAGGGTTTTGGATTGAAGATAAGGTTGAATGTTGAGGGTATATATGTCTTTATATTTATTGAATGAATTTTCTTTTTTTGAAAATTGTTTAAGTAGATCGTGTGTCAAAGACACATCAAATTCGTTGCCAGTTCGGTGATTTTTGTTCGGTTTCCCTATTACTACTCTAGTCACAATTAGGGGTTGATAAACCGGCGTGTTGGGTTGGGTTTATACAGGGTCGGGTTTGAGCAGGGTTGAATATGGTTGAATGTGGGTCAACCCGCTTGTAACGGGTTAAATATAGGTTGGGTGAAAATGGGTTGGGTCAACCCGTCATGGCCCGCTAACCCGTTTTAGGGAAGAAAAAAATGTTATTATTTTGGATAATCTCATTATTATAGTTTTTTATTTTAGATGGATAAAAGCTTGTAACAATATGTATGGATAATTGTAAATCCTCTTTTATTTTGAAAATTCTTTAAATTTATATTATTTTCTTTTGTGACTAGACATCCATGAAGGTAAGATATTATATATATATATAACCTAGACCAGATTGTTCCTACTCAGGTGCCAACTCTGTGACTTTATTTTCTTTTGCAACATTGGTCGGGGACTGAAGCCGTTCCCCTGATGAGGCCAAGGCAGGCTGAAACCAGTCATTTCTCTAACGAGTACAAAGTGATTTGATCCTGTTCCGGGTCAAGTGCCACTTCAGAGCATATCATGGCGCACATCAACACTTTGTAGACGATGCCCTTCATTATTTATATTTTGGTATCAGAGCCAAACAACGATTAGTCAACGCCCATTTCAGCTGTGAAAATAGTGAGTTTTATGGTTGCTGACAAATGTGGAGTCATGCTATCCTCGAATCGGAGAATTCCTTGTCCAATTCCATGTTTGTTCGTAAGACGTCTGTGCGTGGTTGTGTCTTCCCCTTCCCGTGAGTCCGGATCAAAACAGTAAGTCCTAGATCAAAACAGTAAGTCCCGAGGGAGGGCCTGAGCGGTGCGGCATGAGCGGATGATCGCAGGGTCAGGGGTTTGTGTTCGATCATTGCGCATAAGGGTGCAGCAATTACGGAGTGCTACAAAGATTTGGCAGTATCCGAGGAGAGAACCAGATAGCACCATGAGGCAACCGAATAGATGAGTGTTTCATAAATGCTGATGTCAGGCGTGACGGTTGTTCGTGTCACATTCATCTTTATGATGACAGAGCAATAATGAAGGTGTCGACAAAAGTGAAAAAACATCTTTTGTTTTTGCTTTTGCTTTTTGCTGTCGGTGGAGAAAAGGACAAACAGTTTCTCACGCCGTGTCCTGTCGCCCCCTATAAAGTGGATGCTCTATTCCTTCAGCGTTTTGCAGAGAGAGTGAGTTTGGGTCCAGGGAAAAATTTTGAGGCGGAAGAGTATGGGATAGGGGAACCTAGACCAGACTGTTCCTACTCAGGTGCCAGCCTTATGACTTTCTTTTCTTCTGCAACACTGGACGGGGATTGGAGCCGTTCCCCTGATGAGGCCAAGGCAGGCCGAAACCAGTCATTTCTCCAACGAGTACAAAGTTATTTGACCCTGTTCCGGGTCAGGCGCCACTTTAGAGCATATCATGGCGCACATCAACACTTTGTAGACAATGTCCTTCATTATTTGTAATATAAAATCATCTGTTAAGCTTTTTATAGAATAAATAATTAAATGAATAAATCTGGTTGTCGTATTTTGAAATACAGATGTAAACATAGGTTTCTTTTGAACCGTAGTATTACATACACGAGGAAACCATGATGTAGAGAGAATCTTAGAGAGAGAAATAGTGGGAGAGAGAGAGAGAATTTGGGATCGTATGAGAGAATTTTAGAAAGGAAGAGATAAATTTGAGTTAAATAGAGGTTGTGAAATAGGCGACTCACAATATCTAGCAATTGAAAAATCTAGATTATATATATATATATATATATATATATATATATATATATAGGGGTAAGTGCAAAAAACATCCCTCAATTAATATAATACCTATTTTACCCTTTTACTCTTCCAAAAATGCCCCTACCAAACCTTACTTCTTATTCTTTTTTTCTTCTTCGGCTCGAGTTGATTTGATTATCTCAGAGGTCACGATTGCGGGGGTGTTACTACCCAGAATCAATCACTAATCAAACTTGAGTTCCAGGCTGATCCAAAGCAAAGAAGGATCTGGGCCTAGCGTAATCAAAACAGGGCCCAGTATTCGTTCTGCCCGTGGGTTCACTGGAAAGAATGGAAGCTTATGTTCAAAGCTTTAGAAAGATGGATTCTTGTTTTGCAGAGGTGGGTCCAAGACGTCTAAACAAACTCTTGCCGTACGTGCCCAGTTAGCAGCTCCGGTGACAACGTGCCCACTCTGGTTAATAGATCGCTAAAGTTTTTGAGCTCACACCGAACTAAAGTACATTAGACCGAATTAAAGAAAAGAACGCCAGACTGAAACACACCGGTCTAAAACTGAGGGAAGCTCGTCTGACTGAGACACATTGATCTGAATAGAAGCTCACTGAAACTTAAACAAGGCTTGAAACTCTGTTATTGGTTTTGGGTCACTGGCACACAACAGTGTTCCGAGCACACAGCTGTCCACAATTCACCACCGAGCCCCCTCGAGCTCGTCGCCGCTTCCATTTGCAGTCGAGCTTCTTTTTCACGGCCGAGCCATCCCGCTGAGCTCACTGCTGCCTTTTTTTTTTTGTATTCACTCACACAACCTTCTTAAGGATTTGTTTGCACCTAAAAGAAGTCGAACTTTAGACCTAATGCTTTCTGAGACACAGTGTCATGTGACTTAACTTGATCCAAACAAAAATGGCTAGTTGTCAGAGAAGGTAAGAAATGCAGAGAGCGACGTCCGGTACTAACATGGAATGGGGTTATTATTATTTTTTTATATAAAAAATTAAGGGTAAAATGTACCGGCGCCCCCTCAGGTTTGTCTTTATTAAATGTTATTTGTTTTTCAATGATTCACGTACTTTTACTATTAAACCCTTTCCTTTATTTACACTAAAATGTGAAATGTCAATTTTGTCCTTATTTTGGCCATTTGTTTTTCTTGTATAAATTTCTCTCTCTACAATTCAAACACACTATTTCATCGTCAATCAACAACCCAATAAACCACCATCCGGCTTCATCAAGGCCACTCATCGGAACTACAACAACGACAAGAAGGGGGAAGAGGGTGAGATTAAGGATGGGTTCTTTAGGGTTTTATTGATTTGGATTCGTAGGAGATGGGTTTGCGGGTTATTCTAATTAGGATTCTTTAGCTTGCACAATTTATAAATTTTATAAATTTTGAATTAATTTGCAAAATTAGGATTCCTTAGCTCGCAGAATTTGTAAATTAATTTAAGAAACTATGCTAAATTAATTTACAATTTATAATTATGCATCAATTCCTCATCTTAAAACGGCCAGTCTTTGAAGCTCGCCCAAGTCATTCTGTGAAGACTTTGTTGAATATGTACTAGATGGTAAATAGAAGATGATTTCGAGATTAGATTGGGGGATGAGATTAAGGAACAGTTGATTAGATATTCAACGAGATATAGAATCTATACTTTTAAGAGTATATAATAAATGTTCAACGAATTAAGAATAAAATTGTACTTTCAACATGGAAGGTAGTTTGACATTTTATTCTTTTAAATTCTTTTAATATGTCCATAAGGATCGACTAAGGAAAAGAGGTGCCACCTCACACAATTTAGCGTAAACAAAGGAAAGCAAGGGCTTGGTGGTTTTTAACTCCATTTAATAAATCAGAATTATTTAATAATTTTTTATTGATGAGCGTACAAAGTGAGGTTCCTGCACAGGCTCAATGACGTTGGACACAGATATATTAGGAGCCACCGCATAAATGAACTGTGCCCCGACATGGTTGCAGTGAATGGAGAAGGAGGTGGTGTTATGGGGGTCTCACCGCCGGCTAGTGGGGGAAGAAGTCTAGGGTGCAGTTATTGTCACATTAATTTAGCTTCAGCAACAAACCTAGCAGTTATTGTCAACAATTAATATGAGCGACCCTGGTCTCC